AAAGAGAGTCATTCTACCCTATGTAAAGAAAAACTCCCAGATGACAGCAAGATTGTTCAAACGGCACGGTCTTACAGTGGCCCGCAAACCAACTGCCACATTGATGAGAACTCTGTCGAACCCCAAAGCTAGACCCGAAACACACGAAAGATGAAATGTTGTTTACTAGGTACGATGTCAAGATTGTGATAAAAACTATGTAGGTCAAACAGGAAGACGACTGTCAACAAGAATACAAGAGCAGAAGAGAGCTTGTACGAACCATTACGCTCTCTCACTGATTTCAATACATACAGACGAAGAGGGACATCACTTCGATTGGAACAACACAGAAGTCCTAGCATAAGGAGAGACATGGAAAGGAAGAGAGTTCCTCGAAGCATGGTGCTCAACGCAGCATTCGATAAACAACCACATAGAGATTGATCCAGTGTACCAAACATTAGGACGGAGGGAACTAAAACACCTTAGAAAAGAAGAAACCGTCGTGATCGGCTAATTGAGCCATCCACAACACATCAACGACAGCCGGGGCAAAACCATCCCACGGATCGCCCGTATCTATCAGAGTTGGGCGAACCGGTGAAGGTTACGGGGCAGTTCAAAAGTCACTTGCTGATCGATCACAAATCGACGAACAAGTCAGCGGATTAGATTGGACCCAGCAGCGCACTGACGAAGTCACCTCGGCGAACAAGTGAACTCAGGAACGATCGACCCGAGCTACCAGTGCATCAAGTCATTTTGTACTGTATTATGTTCGGAGGAGAAAATAATGAGATTGCTAACTAATCTAGACCGGAAATTCGTGAACCGGGGTTCGATTCCCCGTCGATGCAGGTTTTCGTGTGGAGTTTAATCGTAACTTCTACCTTCTACGAAACTTACGTTACTCACAAACATCCTTCAAATAATCTAGATTGCTTCATGCCGCCGGGGCCGGGTGGCTTATACCCACTGCCTTCTTTTGAGGCTGGCACCTATTGTCGCACCGCCAGTGACGGAAGTATATATGATCTCTTTGACGCAGGTGAACGTCGCACGCGAATGGAAGCAAGCAATGGTACGACCGTACTCAAAAGGTGGCAATAAATCGTTATATTTTTCTACACTTGGCGAATTGGCGTGCCACAAGACATATATATATATATATATATATATATATATATATATATATATATATATATATATATATATATTCACAGTCTGTTAACAGACATGTACCATCAGAACCATAGCAGAAAACAATGGCGAAGGTAGAAACACGAAATGTTATAAAAACGTGGAAAACGCTTTTTTTGGTTTTGCACACGTCATTTTGCTTTTTTTTGTTTCGTGTGTTTTTCCTGTGCATTAAAGGGGGGATAAAATGGCAGAACAACATTGACGCCACTGAGATTCCGCATCTCGTGGTCCCCAACCTGGAAGACGGACTGGTCCGACTGCCGCCAAACTTGTGGTTGCCTTCTTCATGCTGCTTCTCCACGTCATAGTTAACAACAACAAAAAGGGGAGAAACAGGTACTCAGTGGAGGGGTTAAGAAGGTTTATACGTTGTGTGGGCAGAGATCTTCCCGGTTGCCCAGGCGAAGGAGGAGGGTTGACTTAAGGGACCTGACCCGCAAGGCAGCTGAGCGATTAACGAAGGCCGTTGACCTCCGGGTAGCTCAAATGCCTTCTTTGTGTTCGCTAGAACTCCACAAAGAAACCGGTGGCGAACAAGGTTGTTTATCCGCCCTCCGTTATGCACTCACCTCTGGTTGCAGAAGTGAGTGATCAGTGACCCTATGGTCGGTCACATTGGCTTCGGCACAAGGCCTGTACGTGCTCTTGTGGTATTTGATGGAGAACCAGGTGACCAGCCCAGAACTCCCCACGCTCTGAGACGCTGCCGCTGATTGTGCGCGACTGCTTATTCATCTCCCCTTCAATGCATACGAAACTTATTCGCAGTTACCTCCACAGTCAGTCAGCTGACATCCGTGTTCCTGAAACTATGGTGAGATGTAAAGGTGTCCTATACTTTGGGATAGTCGGCACCAACCACAGAGGGACCCTTCTGACATCGGTTGCCTTCAACTTACTAGCATCCACCATGTTTTGCAGGTTATCCCTAGCTAGTGAGAGACGCTAGTTGGAAGAGTAGGCTAACGGACCAAACGTAAACGTTTTGTCAGTTCCTGTTATATCGTCTATCTACAATAGACCTACCATCATCGCCTTTCAGGACATTCTGCATGCATTTTGTACTCAGTAGACTGGTTTGATTTATGACATGATCAACTATAGAACAGAGTTCCCGAAAGTGCGGCGGCATTTTTCTGGCACTATACTTTCATACTTCAGGCAGGTGGGCTTACGGAAAACTTTATGCACTCTTCCCTGCCGCTAGTGGTATTCGACAACAATATCCTGCCTTAGTTTCTCCAACCTTTCAACTGACGATGTCCTTTTGGGACTGATGCTTCGCTGCCATACAACCATGAGGACCTATGAAATAAAGAATAAGAAGAGGGAGAGAAGAGGGACTTACCTGAAAACGTTAATGCCCTAAGCAAATATTCAGGGTCAAGGCGCCTACACCTTGTGTAGACAATATACCGTCACAAACAGCTGGCTATCGTGCAAAAATAAGGCGGCATCGGCGAGACAACCTCCTTGCGGCTTTCACTGCCACGTGTCATAATCAGCCATTACCCCGCAGATAACTCAGCACCAAACATACTTTAAACAGGCAATCGAATTAGGAGACGACAGCAGACGCGCCACTGGTGTCGGTTGCGAGCCATGTCCTGTAAAGTCTCTAGCCAAGCACAAGGCGAGTCATGTGGACTCCAATCTGGAAGGTGAGACGGACCAACGGCACCCAGTTTGGTCGTCAGTGACTTCATTTCCCGCTGCCAAGTCAACTTCTGTCCACCTCGAGCCTTGCGCCACCCTACACCTGGCAGACTAAACAAGGCCCTCCTAGGTAAGCGGTGACCAGGCATGCGTAGCACGTGCCTGAGCCAACGCAACTTATTCAGTGCTATCTGTTGTTCTAGGGAGCTAGCATGATTATCACTACCTAGTACTCGCCTACGTACATCATCGTTGGGGATACGCTGGTGCCATCCGACACCAGCAATGCTTCGCAAACAACGATGATCAAAGACTTGAAGGCGCCTCAGATCTTCATACCGAAGGGACCAAGTTTCACTACCATAGAGCAGGACGGCCCTCACTGTGGACTTGTATACACGGCCTTTCAGACGGAGGGAAACTCCCTTCTGTCGCCATGATGTTGTATACATCATGCTTCTACTCCACATTTGAGCTATACTGAATTATACTTACCCTAGTGCTTCCTACACCAAGTACGAAGTACTCCACTTCATTTGATTTGCTCAGTTTTCTCACTGCCGCCTTTTCCGTTTCAATTTTGCATGTTTATTTTCTTTCCATTTCTGTGTTATTTGTTGGATATCCCCGGTATGACTGCGCAAGCGCCTGTCGAAAAAGCGCTACCTCGATTCTGCTAGCTCCAGTTGGTCGTTTCCTAGGGAGATGGAGTGAACGGTTTTCGTGACGGTGCTAAGCTCGAAGAGTGGTTCCATGCATCCAATGTGAAACGGGCTACGACGCAGCCAACGCCTTATGCACGTCTGGAACGCATGACTCCTTAATTAGGTATGAATGCTGCTGCTGAGGAAGTGTGGCTCGGCTCCGTTTATGCAACGTGATTCCCATCCACATGCCTCCTGGTCTTATTCCTTCGAGTTTACACCTGATACGGAGGGTGTGGGTTGTGCAGCGTAATCCACCCATAGTCCCTCTGTAGGCGCAGACCTCCTGTGGCTTTCGTATAGAGGCCACAGTGACAGACAACTCGGGAACCGGATGCTTCCAACTATATATACTGGGTGCTTGTGTCAGTCGGTATGGTGAGTGGGATTTTGCAACCGAGCGCCCTGTCGTGTACACACCATTTTTTAGCATCTTGCGAATAGGTATGGAGTCATCAGAAGCCTCGAAAACCAAGGGAAGAATCGGTAATCGTAAAAATAAAGCCAAGCTAACACACTAATCCATGGATTCTCCAGAATGTATAGTGCTATCCGCTTCTCGGCGTCATAAATGGCGAAAATCGGCACGCGCGCCTCCAACGTGTTATATGCGGTTCATTACCTCGTCTCCTATTCCATAGTCACCGATGTATTTGTCAAGGTAGTTAAGTTTCTAGGAGAGATCTAAACGCCTTCACTAAGTGTTAACGCAGGAGTTGGTCTTTTCCAGTCCTACATTAAGATTGCACTTTTGGGGTGCAAAGCACATGCCGAAATAATTGGCTTCCAGTAGTAATCTGTCCAGCGCTGCCTGTCACATATGTAAGCTGTCTCAGATACTTCCAGTATCGTCGGCTTACTCCAGGTCGATAATCTGAAGCAAATTCCACACTTAGGTCGTTTCCGATGAATTTTGGTTCCACAGTTTCGTCAATTGCGAATTTAACGCCACAATAAGTGCCTCAAAACCATCTGGTGAAATCATGCTTATCTGCCATAAGTGTTACTCCCTCAGCTGTATGGTCCATTGGTGAAAGTATCTACTGGTTAATCCGGGGGGTTTTGCTTTGTGGCTATGACCACAGGTATCTTAAACTGGAAAGCCATAACGAAAGTGATGCCAATTGTTGACTGCAGTGACTGGAACGGTCGCGATTTTCGAACGGATTGTGGTTGGCTTCAGATCAAATCACTGTCTAAATTGCGATGGTATGTTGCACTCAATACGCTCATCGAATACTCTAAACCCTTTTGTTGCTCATACTTCTGTCTTTTTGCGATTAGGTCTATTTTTAGTGTATTTATTCAGTCCTACAATATCACATTTTTTGATGTTGTATAACTAACCAGCATTCTTTACTTTACCAATTTAAAAGTCTGCAGTTTCCGCATTTTATCCTGATTTTGACCCATTTTTTTACAGCCGGTCATCACTCTTGGACTACGGATCGCCAAATGACCACAACTATTGCCAACCAGAAGTTGGCCGAACGCCTTTTCATTTTGAATGATCGTCAGTTGGGAGTGCTCACTCGGTTACATCATATGAAACAAATATTGAACTCCCCGGATTTTCGACCATCGGTTCTTCCAGGCGGCGATAAGATGTTTGATGCTGCCTGGAAGACGTTGCTTAAAAAATTCCCCTCTGTCGATACAAAAGGTGGTCAAACAAACCTACAGCCTTTTGTTAGTCACCAGAAGGAGTTGTTTGGTATCACTTCCTCTTACTATTACAACTTTGTGGACGTTCTTGAGGTGCGTGACAATGTTAGTGACACCTTGGCGCGTTTTGGGTGTGCTCACATACAGTTTGACATAACTGTGAATTCGGATCTCACTCGTTTGTATTTGGAGCTAATCAGCAATTACTTTGCACTTATGTTTTTTCTCACTCGAATACCCGACACAAGAGCCATTTTGGCGTTATTTAATTTTCTGTATGATCAGTTACATGGAAAAACGGAACCGAATTTTCCTCGGATGGCGGAGTTGTTTACGGAAACGCCTGAAACCATGTTGAAGCAACTACATTCTGATATCTGTCCACATTCACGTATCTTGCTCAAAGCACTCAATTCTTTGAACGATTTTTTTGTTCGTCGTACTGTCAGGGCTCAAAATTGGAGTGATGGGCACTTTCTAAATATTCTGAATGAACCCAGCAAAATCGCACACACTGTGTTAGGAGATCAACTTGTTTGCGAACTCATACCCTACGAAATGATGGAACGCTGGGTCGTGTTCGGTTATTTGCTTATCTACAAGGATTTGAGCGACGAAGATGCCTTTGCTAGACTCAAAATGGCATTGCGGCACACCTACGTCGTTGTACTCTTTCGTGACGAGATTATATACGTGCATTCTCTAATACAGTCCTTCTTAGAATCTGTTTGGACCAACAAAGTTGGCCTTAAGCGTATCAGCGAAGTAAAGGAGACTTTGGCCACCGCTTGTTCTCAAACATTCGAAGTTCATGCAGATCGCCGCGCCTATCTGAGATCAGCCTTGCGACAACTACACTTGATTCTGGCCGATGAGCCTGGTTTTCTTGGTCCCAAAGCATTTCTGGTCTTTTGGGGGCTGTCATACGCTACCGATGAAGTCCACTGGCTATTGCGCCATATTTCGAACCCAGCTGTGAAAAAGTCAGGCGGTGGTGGTGGTGGAATTTCTCGTTCTGGAGCCAATTTGTCCGAGGAGTGTATAGACCCTTTCTTGCCCGAATTGCTATTTTACATGGAGGAACTGCGCATGCTTGTTATCCGATACACACCCGTTATCCAAAGGTTTTACGGACAGCTGTTAACGTCTTACGATGCCCCTGGCCTTGCTGAACTTCTTCAAGACGTGTCACCGCTTGTGTCTAATGAAGAAGCCACGATGCTTTCCAGTATTACCAAACAGTTGTCAGAGTTATCTGAGCACAACTCACTGCAAAACACTAACCAGACTTCGAGTGAACAATTTTCGATGTTTGATTTTTCCGGTATCCGTTTGGATTGGCTGCGTTTACAGGCCAGCATGTGTTGCAAAGATGCTCCCGTCAAATTAGCCGAACACCGTCGCTTGGTGGAACACCTTCATTCTACCATATTCCATACAAAACTTGTTGATTATATAGACGAATTACTTCGCCTTGTTTCGGATCTATCAGTTTTCAATTTTTACCCCGCACAGTTTGCCGAGTTGTTCACACATTGCTTACTCTGTCCAGCGCAGTTGCGTTTCAGCATCGTGTTTCCCAGTCTCTGCTCCCATGCGCTGCAGGCATGTCATGATTTGTGTCCTGAAGAGCGTCCGTATTTGGGGCGTAGTTCCTTTCGCATGGCGCACCACTTTTGCCAAAAGATCGCTGACCGTGTATGTGCGGATATCCTAGCAAGAGTGGATGAATTCGGCAATCTGGCCGATCAACTGTCCCCTCAGAGTGCTGTTATTTTTCTACCAGAGGAGAAGGCTGCGAAAAGAAAAAACAAGAAGCACAGTGTTGGGTCTAAATCCCTCTCGAATGGTTCCATACTTGAGTTGACCAAAGGTAAAATTTCATCGTCAAACGCATACGGGGTATCAAACTCCCTGGGACCAGGAGCTACTTCTGATAAGGCTTCTTTTCTACCAGGCATTGAAAGTTTCCGGCGTAGCCGAGAGGAACAAACGTCTGGAGACCGCACACTGTTCAGTCTGAGCCAGTTGTGCCAGGCAGTGAATCACTACCGTGAATTGGTGGTATATGATCAAGTAATTCATCCGCGAGAAATTTTGCAAGCTGAAATACAGTCTCGGTTAATCGAGGTATTGGCAAGTTATACAGAAATCACGTAAGCTTTTCCTAATATCAGAGTTCTACTCATATATTCTCCCGCGCAAGCATTCGATACCGTAGACGGGATCCCGTTTTTCACCATACCACTAACCTCAATGCTGACTGAAGTTAATCCTAGTCCCATTTGTTTTATATGGCACTACCGGCTGTGGTATACTTAGACTGATACTATATCTGCATCTGTGTGCGCACAGGTGTATTTCTCATCCATGTTCATGATACACAGTTGCGAGCTCCGCCTACCATAAAAACGAAAACAGTTTGACCTACGGTCACGCATGCCATTACAAGGCTCGCTCATAAATGGTAGATTAGTTTCATCTAAGCTCATACCGGAGCGGGCTTATAAGAGGTTCTCTTGCTTGTCATATGTCACCTTTTACCCGTCCATAGTTTCCAACCTTTCTCTCTTCTGTGTACACAATGAGCTGCGTGCTTTCTGTTGTCACAGAACTGACTCTAGACCAGAGGTTCTCAACCTGGGGGTAATTACGCCCAAAGGGGTAAAATGGCATTTTACGGGGGGGGGATATAATTATGAGGCTTAGGTCATCAATCAGTCACCAAACAAAGTTAATAACAAAATTATGTGTCAAGACATTTAACTAACTGCCTAATCACTATTGGTAAGAAATCAGTGACTGATTCTTATTGCGTGGTTAGTGGCAATTTTCAGTAATAAATTTTATTGCCTAAAATAGGCATACAAGCCTGCAAAGTAGCGCAGCTAGATGGCGCCTCTATCAGTTCGCACGTCATTCGTTGTTCTTTCGAGTCAGGCATTCTTTCATCGGGTCGAATAACAGAGTTGAGTGCACACTTAGGTGGGAGCCGATCAGGTAAAGGAGCGATCAAATGTTTACAAGGTATAAGGCCTATGACGGACGTTTAGTGTTCAGGACGTGCCGATTCAGAGTGGTGATGAGAAACCATCATCCAGGAAGGATTTAGAAGGGGTGATTTAAACAAATGAGGAGCCACTGGTGTCTTTTTATGCTTGGTCAAGAAGCGAGAAACCGAATGGACTTGGAGCACGACTTACGATGTTCATTAGCCGAAACTGCACTAACTATACCGTAAAGTGTTGGAGCTAAACATTATCAGCCATCTCCTTAACTTACATCACCTCTTGATTTAATAAAATATTGTTGCAAAATAGATGTTCTCTTTATTTGAATGAAAACAATTAAAAATATTCATTTTCAGTAATTTAAAGGAAATAGGGCAATAATTGATGGGTATACTTAGCGTTTAAACTGAAAAAATTAGGGTAATTGTTTTTACTGAAGCCGATTTGGGGTAAAGACCGCAAGAGGCTGAGAACCACTGCTCTAGACGAACTTTCTCTTCATCAGGATTTCATCTCTCCTTGGAAATATACTCTCCGTCGGATTATTGTGCTTAGAGTGTCACTCTGCGTTCGTTCTGTCACACTCCTTAGTTTGGTTGTTTCTAACTGATCCACTTGGCCTTAACGGTTAGCTGCGACTGCATTCTTCATCCAAACTCATCTTCTACTCCTTGAACTGTCTTCACAATGTGTCATTAGTACTGGATTTAATTCTCGATAGTCCATTGGATAGCGAGCAGTTCATTAACTTTGAAATTATAGTGCTGCCTCTATCGTATCTCGGCTGTTTGCAGTTTGATATCTGCGGGGCCCTTTCAAACCACCAATATCCAGACTGATAGCTGACGACAGCTCCGGTACACCGATCATATTGCAACGTGAGTGTCGTTTTCATTACGCATCATATCTGACACCTGCTTCTCGTCTGAATACCGCAGCGAGGATTCCCCAGTGATGACTACGTTAGCGAATCATGGGTACCAAGTACTGGTGCGCTGCTGATACCTATTTCCCAGCTGATGCTAACTTTCGAACGCTCCAGAGCCAGAATGGATACGCGCAATACGTTATATCATTGGTTTTTAAGTATTTCTAAATTTCCCAACTTGCCCCTGTTTGATTGAAAGAGGCGTTCGCCGTTTCTATGATCACATTTTGTCTCAGATCTGCGACTTATTTAATCCGTAATCACTTTTTGTTCACTTCGAACTTCGTTTTATTTTCACTAACCGGTTGATGCTTTCATTGTCGTATCAATTGCACTTGTTTCACACAGATCTGTTGGTGAACCGGTTGGCGATTCAATAATTACAAAGCCATCTGAACTGTGGCGCCGCGTGCGTGCGCTAATGGATGTACTCATGGATTTGGAGCACCACGTATGCATTGATGTAGTCGGGATCTTTTCCACCGTTTTCGCCCAACACACGCAGCCACGGGATGGATTCAAAGTATGTGATATCTATTCCTTATGCCAGATGTGCCCTTGCCCCCACATTTTGCATCGCTACTCTAGGTGGGAGCGTCTAGATGCGACTGGCACTTAACATGATGTTATGGTTTGCGCATCTCCTTTTTCCACCCAGTCACGCTGTCTTTTACTTTCTTAGTACCTTCTCTTTGGAGAGTTGTTACTGCATCGATGACCCTTTACCCTCAGCCATGCAACCAGTTGTGCGATGAGGTGTGCAATCCGATTGATGTCATACACGAGCGCCATGAGTTCTCTCTGACGGCATGGGAGCACAGCTGATGCTCGTTGATTTGCTACCATCCGCCTCAACCAATAGTGTACAGAACTGCAGAGAGTCATCTGCATTTAACTGTGCTTTCGGGTGCGCCACACAACTTAGTCGATCCGCTTACTTGAACTGTTATGAAATTTTCAATATTGGATGAAACCGACCTCTGTTAGATCCCGCAGGGCCTTGCGATCACACTGCCGAGCTGGACCCATTTCCCACTGTTATGTTCGTCAGGATATTGAGTCAAAAGCTCTATGCATACCTCCCAGTTCACACTGCCACACCCTTTTATCCCGTAAGGCAATTCAGTCAAGACTGGAGTCTACACCTCTGCACCAAAGCTCCTCTCGTTCCATACAAGCAACTGGAAGGTTACTCGCTTACAAAACACTGTTGCAGATGTCTTTTTCTACTTCTCTGAGTCGACTCGTGCCTGCCCTCGAGGCTGTGGGAAATAATTCCTATTTGTGCTTCCTCACGCGCGAGTCACCAGCATGTTTGAAACCTTTTTAAGATACATGAGCGGTTAGCTTTTGCTTGATCCGTTTGAGTTTGCATTAATACATGCGATTGTAATGTGTCCGTGGTCCGCTATTGTAAGTCCCCATTTTCGGTGGTCACTCACCATACTAATTCTTAACTGATTCATTTCTCTCAGGGTCAACCCACCGTGACGGCACATTACACAAGGTGGTACATCGGAACATTTCTAAAGCACGCCTACATGGACCATTTCGTTTATTCCCCTCTGCTCAAGAGCTTCGTAACTTTCGTGTCACCGGATGTAGTCCGTTTTCGAGCCGAAGACTTTGCTGATCTAAACGAGTTACGAGCATTATCCGAGCTGTTGGGTGAGTTTTCCGCTACCTTTCGCTCTCATTAGCTTTCGCTACAACTTTACATATGAGCTTCTCTGTTGGTGGCGTTGCGTATCATCTTGATTTTGCTACACTACAATCGATATACAAGGTATCGCGGAGTAATCACAGCTTGAATGATTCCTTTACATCAATTCACACGGAAATTTGTACTGGATAGTGCTCACGAACCAGTAGTTGGCGTCACAAGTGTAGAAACCCCCTCCCCAAACTTGTTGCCTTATAACGGAAGAAGCTGAACGTAGACATGGCTGTCGAGTGACCATAGCATATTCATTCATCTTTTGTTTCGGCTAGTCCGCTGTGGGGGGGAATGGCCGGGTTCTGCGGTATATTTGTTCTCGTGCACGCTTCTCGACGCCAGTGTTGATGCAGCCTACTGTCGGTTTACGCATTCTCAACGTATCTTTCATCCTAACGTTTTTACAACGCTGATCGATTGAGGACTCTCACTTTAATAGCTTTTGCGCTTTTTCGCAATATTCGCGCCCGTAACTCACCATTTCTTCATTTTTTGAAAATGTATTTGTACTCGAACGTATTGGTGTAGTGGGGAACCGCTCAACTTTTAACCGAGTACTTTAGTATCTTCTCCAAGATACTGGGTGTCATCTCATTTTCACACTATCACCTACTGCCTTACAATTCGCGAAGTATGTGTCGTATGGTCTATTTGTTTTAAGTACAGGCATCAGCAATACGCTGGTGCGCTACACCGATGTCTCGCTGTTACGCGACCACTATCAGTCCGCGTGGATTAGGCATACTGCATGATCGCCCATACCTGTGCAGTTTTAAACCCGTCTGATCCTTTCGGCTGCCGGCCTACTATAAACGTGTATACTCAGTTATGGGTACAGCTGTCTTGTGACTAGAACGAATCAGAGCTCAAATGAAGCAATTAAAATCGCTGATGACATTTGAAATCTGCTGATTTCTAGGATTCGAAGTGCTGTCGCCGCATACCGAGCTCAAGCGTGATGCATCGATGGTTCCTGTAAGTGGCACCAACTCCTACAATCATAGGAATATGACATATGACAAGCGGAAGGGATCACGTTGTTGGCATCTACTCTCGCCCACTGCCTTATGATGGAACAGCAATCCAGGACGCAGGAAGAACTAGTATGCGTCCAGCCGGAACGATGCCGTTTAAGTCATATTTTTGGCTTGCGTCAGTTTCCAGAGTAGCGTCGCATATGTCGAAGGCCGATTATACCTGCCTACCTCGATTTCAACAGCATGTTCGACGCGGTTGGGCAATCTACACTGTTCGACATGCTTGTCCATAGATTGTTGTCATCTGACGAGTCCTGCATCCGATCGCCATAAATCACCTCAGAACCTGCAATGTGTTAATAGCTAGTCGCTTGAGCAGAGCTGAGGAGCCGGTCGTAGCCATGCGGGCCAATCAGCTGTTGCAAACGAGTCAGCCGTGTGTGGTACCGGATACCCGCTTGAGCGAAAGGTAGTTAGTTGCATATGGCAACTTGTCCATTTAGGTGCACGCATGGACCAGTCAGAGAAAGGAATCGCGCTTAGCTCAGTGGCGGATCGGTTTGGCCGGAACTCGAGGTAGGCAAAACGGACCTGACAGACAAAGCAAAGCTGCTGTACGCAACCGTGGCTCAAAGCGAATGAACGAAGACGGAGCAGAAGCCGACGGGGACAAGCCGTGCATGCGACTAATGAGCGTAAAGTAACACGAAAATCGCATACGAAGAGGAAACGGCCAATGTGTAGGCAATGCCGACAAACAACCATTCACCATTTTTGCACAACGTTAAACGACTCCCTGATTTTTCAAGAACAAACTCTGATCGTTGCCCAGACTTCCTTTCGACTCTCGGAGCGCTGCACGACATGCAGTGAATTGTTGGACACCTCCCCATTCACCAGTAGTGTTCGCTGGGGTTCTCTCATTTCCATACTTATATTTCACTTATCGGGACCTCAATTATGGGATCTCACGATAGTAGTATGCTACTTGGTAGAAGTCTGGATGATCCTAGCTGCTTGGACGATATCTTAATGTCTGATAACGGTGATGCGGTGTGGTTAATCCCCTATACTGGCATGCGGTTTCGTCTCCATGCACCTCACACCTTCGAGTTGCAAAGTACTGTTTCAGAACTATCAGGCGCTTGTTTCTTCCCTGACTTCTCGAAAAATAGTGATATCGGAGACGCTGTGAACACAATGAATGTCCTAGTCATTTGTTTTGAAAGTTAGAAAAGCGCCTCGGGGACCGTATAGGAGTTGTACCCTACAGTACTATCGTGCGTGTCCGTTTAGCGCTCACTATTCCAACTCCGGTGTAGTGCCCAGCTTCTAATGTACCTGCTCGTCAACCGTGTTTGTGCTCCGTGAACCGTTAGGGTCAATCCGAATTGCACTTTTAGATGTCACTGTTGTATCGAATGCGATTCTGAATTGCGCTTACTTCAAGATGGAACAATATTGCTTGCGATCTCTTGTCTGCTTGGCCCTTAAGTAAACTTGATTGATGCGCTCAATTGGATTCCGTTGGGAGTTCAGTTTCAGTGTCTGAAACACACTGAAATATCGGAGTCTCGGAGTTGGCCGGACGCGTTTTTGAATGACGACAGCCCCTGAGGTGGATAAGACCAACGCCATTGGCAACACCAGGGTGCTGCCCTAGCTCACTGGATGCATGCAGGCGTTAAGGTGGTGCCTGGTGAAAAACTAATTCGTCTTGATTATGCTTGCTTTTTAACAATGTCGGAGTAGCGCAGTCCGTCGTGAATGACCTCACTACAGTGGTCCCATCATTTGGCATGCACTTCGCACCTTCAAAGTGCAAAGTGCTGTTACAGGACCACCAGCCACTTGACGACTCCTTGACTCTTGTTGGTGAGGAACTCAAAGTATTTGAAGGATGTGTGTGCGTAACGTAAGTTTCGTAGAAGGTAGAAGTCACGATTAAACTCCACATGAAAATCTGCCTCGACGGGGAATCGAACCCCGGTCCGCTGCTTTACCGCTGAGCTACCGAGGGCTGACGATTAGGTGTGGGATTTAATTAATTTAATTTCGTGTGGAGTTTAATCGTGACTTCTACCTTCTACGAAACTTACGTTACTCACAAACATCCTTCAAATAATCTACCATCGCACTTTGGACTTCGGATGGACAGTTACTTCGGTCCACTGGGAAGTGACGAGTGAGTGAGACGATCTGCAACACCAGGACAGTTACTGTGAGCTCATTGGCAATACGTCGCGCATCAAGCAGAAGTCACGTGTTAAATTCCGCACCTAATCGTCAGCCCTCGGTAGCTCAGTGGTAGAGCAGCGGACCGGAAATTCGTGGACCGGGGTTCGATTCGCCGTCGAGGCAGATTTTCGTGTGGAGTTTAATCGTGACTTCTACCTTCTACGGAACTCAAAGTAGTTGATCACTTCACCTACCTCGGCAGCTGTATCAGCAACGACGGGCGCATAGCAGCTGAAGTCGGTTAACGCACTGCGAAAGCTAGAACTGCTTTATTGAATCTGCTTCATGTGTGACGACAGAATGGGGTTTCCCTCCGTTTAAAAGGCCGTGTTTACATTGTCACAGTGAGGGCGTTTTACTCTATGGAAGCGAGACTTAGGCTTTCCGATTTGAGGACTTGCAACACCTTCAAGTTGTCTAATAAGCATTCCTGCTGTCGGATAACACCAGCGTGTCCTCAACGATGTGCCTAAGCGAGTACTAGGCAGTGATAACCGGGCTATTTTCTTAAAACAACAGATAGCACCATATATATATATATATATATATATATATATATATATATTGACCACAATCTGTGTACAGATATTATGCTATCGGAACCATGGCGGAATAGGATAACTGGGTTCGATTAAATGAACAAAGAAAATAAACAATGTTATGTCAATTTTCACTCGCAGTTTTTGAGTTTTTGATGTTTTTTATTAGGGGAGGGAAGGGGATGGTCCATCCAAGATTCGTCAGTTGGCGAGATACTACTCGGTTGCCCAGGTCGAAGTAGTGGGTTGTATTTGGGGGCCCCACCCCGAGCCTTTGATCTAGGATCTAACCTACAAGGCAGCAGGACGATATGAGAGTATCGCAACCCGTTGGGAGCCGGTGACCGAACAAGTGGGTCATACGCTTTTATTACCGCATAGGACCAGGGGCACAACACACCCTTGAACTACAATGTTACTCAGAGAGACGCAAGAGGCAGTGACTTTGTTTAGTGACGAGTCACATCCGCCACGTCACAGTGTTGTTAAACGGACATATGTGGCTTTTTATAGGGAGAACGCTTGCCAGGCGAAAACCCACCACGTCCTGGAACGCTGCGGCCGAACCATTTGCTGGAACGGGATAATCCCGAACCACCCAGCTGGCACCACGAGGAGGTTGTTCGGCAACCCAGCCAGTGTTGGCTTGGGTACCTACTACGTATGCCCGGTCACCACTTATCCAGGTGGGCCTTGTTTTGTTCACAAGAACTGCGGTGGTGCAAGAACTGAGGTGGATAAAAATTAACTTGGCAGAGGAAATTAAGTCACTGACGACCCAACTGAGCGCCCTCGATCCGTCTCTCCTTCCCGCCTTTTGCTTGGTTCGAGACTTTACAGGAAATGGATCGTAACCGACACTAGTGGCACGTCTGCTGCCGTCTCCTAGTCGGACTGCCTGTTTAAAGTGTGCTTGGTGCTGAGTTATCTGCGGGGTAATGGCTGATTATGGCATGTGACAGTGAAAGCCGCAAGGAAGCTGTCTCGCCTATGCCGCCTTATCTTTGCACGATGGCCAGCTGTTTGTGATGGTACCTTGTTGACAATGTGTAGGCGCCTTGACCCCGAGTGTTTCTTTAAGCCATCAAGGTTTTGCCGCGGTTTTACCTGGTAATATTCTTCGTTCCGTAGGTCATTGTGGTTGTCCGGCAGCGAAGCATCAGTTCAATTGGTTGATGTACTGCTGGTGATGATGCTTTTCTACTGAATAGCAGATGAGAGGTACCTAGTTGCTTTTCTTAGCGATTTCCTAACGGAAATGAATACTTTTGATGGTCTCTCCTTCATGCGAAATATTTATCCATTTGTGCACGGTTGCATCTACTGTAGAGTTAGATGAATCGGGGCAAATGCGTCACGAGTAGATCTTTTCGGTCGGCCAGCCCGATTGTCCTCTTTGATCACCAAGTTGATTGACATCTTTTGAATGTAATCTCAACTGAATAGTAAAGCCAGTGCGTGCTCACGTTTTCTACCTACGCATCCCTCTCCGTTATAACCTAGAGCATTTTTGAAGCCAAATCCTGCTGCTCGGGTGGAGCTACCATCGATGTGGTGAAAACCGTCGACCAAATTCGAACCGACTCCAACTTGTTACTTAACTTGCACAGCTCCGGAATACTCCGCATCCTGCGTTCATTAAACCTCACTATCCTCGGTTTCACAGAACGGCTGGCTTGCATCCGGTAGTGCAGTATAAACGGAAAAGCATTCCTCAAAGTTGGTCAAATTCCCCATAAGGAGTTTACACAAACTACATTACTTTTTCGAGTGGATGTTAATAGCCCCTTGTCGGTCTTGGGTGGAAGTGGTTTGTTGGTGCCGTCCTCTGTCCCATCCTTGTTAACTTCTTTCACAGTCTGTTTCGGTAATGTAACCATTACCAACTTCATCGTTGGCTCATGTTTAGAGCCTTCTGGGGGAAGTGCAGTCTGTACTGAACGGAACACTATAGAATAGCGTTCAGATGGAGATAAACATGGTGTACGTATGGCCAGTTTTTCTCAAATGCTTCCGTTATTTGTACTTGTGATTTAATTATCCATCCACTTACCTTAGTTCCTCGGTAGTGTGTTGTCCATCCCATTTGTTCCTTACTGATCATTGTTAACAGATGAATGTCTCTCGGACACTCTGATGGTGTTTAGCACATTTCATGAGCAATTACGTACTATCCCACTTGGCACATATAAAGATTGGCAACCCCTTCAATTCAGTCCATTCGTTATCGCCTAACTGCATGGTTTCAATGCGCTTCTTTCAACAGGATCCTTGGGTATGAAATACCTGTGTGACCAGTTGATGCAGGATGTTGGGAATCGAGTGGATGAAATCAAGAAATTGGTGTTACAAAACCGGTCTACGCTGGAGCACCTGCGCGAGTGTTTTGATGATCCTGTCAAGACGAGACAGTACGCCAGTGCTTTACAAAACAGCGATTCTCTCCTCACACTCCTCAAGGAGATTGGAGTTGCTCTTGCTTTCCGGAGACTTTGTTCCGAAGCCTCAAATGATATCCTTCAGGTAATCTGTTCACATGTTCACCTCAGTAAACCGATAAACAAACATATGCTTATTGTCCATATCCTCGTTATGCCCTTTGGGAGACGACATTGTCTTGCTTTGTTTTCCAACGTTATCTATCGGAAGACCCCAGGAACGTAATGCGCACATTTATGGATTTTCACTTACACCGAACACTGCCAGTCTTTGTAGTCGATATGATACCCCTTTCGGACGCATTTAACTATTCAGAAAGTACAAAAAATCACTACATTTTTTAACGGAGTTCTACCATCATGATACTGTATCGTCAAGAAGGTATCCACTGTATTACAAATGGACACAATGCGTCTTCTTTTCTATGGTATTTTTATTCATATAAACGCACTCAACCGAGCTAACGATCCTCTTCCTCGCGGTTTTTCACACACTATTCCAGTGATTAGTTTTATCCGACTTTATTCCACCACAAAACGTGCTTGCTTCTGTGCATCGACCCGCCTCACACATATCCATCGATTCTTTTTCAGCTTCACGTTCCATTTCTGATGTCATCAATAAAGAATCTCCGCAACTATGTATCCCAACAATCTGGCGGTCAGTTACTACCCCCATGTCCCAGTCCGCACAACTCGGGGGCCCGGGATGAAATGGAGTCCATTTACGCTCATTTTAACTCGCAACTGGTGCTCAACAATCTCTCTTCGTGCATGGGGATTCTGTCCGACCTGGATTACAGCCTATGCGCCATTCTGAACAGTCGTCGACAGGCCATGCTCGCTACTGCCAGTCAATCCAGTGCGCCCGGAGGTGCCGCTGGTTTGGCCGCTGTCTATCCCGAACTGGACTATCTTATCGCTGGATTGTTTATTGTGTTCGTCGCGAACGCTCTTCCTCGTCTTGCCAGACAGGAAGGCAGTCTTTACCATCTGGATCTGGAGGCAAGCGAGAATAATTCACACTGCCTTGCTTACTCGGTAAACGCATTGATGGTGAGTTCTACGAGTTATCTTTGTGGTCATCATTTGCCATTATCCAATTACGGGTGCGACCCACATCGCTGTTACTCGCTACCTTACATAGCTCGCGGTTTGTTTCGCAAGCTCTCGTTTGTCTGTAAATCTTTGTCCTCTACCATTGACTCAGTCAGCGTCTTTCAACCCCTGACGTCAATTAACCCATGACTCATAAAACTCACAGTATACCATTCGAATGGCGGTGGACTTCAGTTGCACCTTGCCCGTTGTGAGTTGTGCCCCCGGAATTCAGCCCCTGCTCACCACCGTGGTAGTATGATACATGATGTCGCTGTGGGAGATGACACTTGGGTTCGCCACCAAAAGCAACTTCAACCGCGACGCGGAACGCTCGAAGGTCAATCCAAGTCGCGTACACAAATACCGCTGTACGTACCATTGGATACTTTCGGAATCGCTGCGCAACAACCGGGGCCAATGGAAGTCGCACAGCCGACGACAAACCCAGCCGGTCCTCACGGTAGGTCGGAGCGTATCAGTCGAAGGACCAAACGACTTCAGATCGACCCCAACTAAAACGGTATGTTTAAACTTGAAGGGTACCCAACATCCCCATAATGATCATAAGCTTAAACCAAGGAAGGCAGTGAGACTCGATCCAGACCAGTGCACATGTTTCGATCAGCCTTCCAACTCGAGACATTCACGTTTCGATTGGCCTTTGTACCTCAGAAAACATTCCTGTTTCCGGCCAACCTCCCTTCAGTCAAAACATTCAGCTTTTTTTACCTAAGAAACATTCAGTTTTCAGTCCAGCCTCCACATCTACCAACCTTCACTTTTCAACATGTTCCGTTGGCATATTTGCATAGTACCAATTCAGTTGCTTCCAGGGTTTGCTTACGCAAATCATTGGCGCCATCGTGGTATAAAGAAACGCTGGACTACGCTGTAATCGCCTTGAGCTGGGCCGGTAAACGTGCCTACGCGAAAAGCCTGTCTTCTGATCTTGTTCTTTGGGGTTGGGTAGCTGCGTGTGAAATTCCGTTCGGTCTAGGAGCCAGTTCAACTCGCGCGTAGTAACCGTGTTGCGCCTAAGTCTCACGGATCGTACAACTTCGAATTTTGTCGGTTACTTTGTCGTGCGTGAAGTACTTCCAAGTCTCATTTGTTCGGCCGACTAGGAGAGTTGATACCAGATCGTCAGAACGTGGCGTACCCAAGACGCAGTTATAACAAAAGTTGGACAAGAACGGCGAGATAGGACAACCTTGGCGCGCTTCACTGGTAACCGGAAACGAAGAAGAAAGTCTGTCATCAACTCTAACTTTGCCAGATGTGTGACTACACAGCTCTTTCAAGAGTATGACAATCTTGTCGGGAACGCCATTCCGTAGCATAGAGTTCCACAGTGACGACCTATCTACTGAGTCAAAAGCGGCTCGGAAATCCAAAAACAGCACCATTGTTTGTCTTCATTGGACTTGACGATATTCGAGAATTTGACGCGTGAAAATTCGGTCAATGCAACCACAGTTAGGACGAAAGCTAGCCTGTTCCTCTCGACACAAACTCTCGCGGGTAACTGAGAGTCTACGCAGCAGAATGGACGCAAAAAGCTTGGACGCGACAGAGATTTGTCGGTAGTTGATGCATTCGCTACGAGAGCCCTTCTTGTGGATCGGAACCACAACAGATCCTCCCCATGAGTTAGAAACCTTCTCATCGCTCCATACTTTTGTGAACTGTGATAAAATTTCGGTGACCACTAAGTCCACCCCCCATCTTTGCATAAGGCCGGGGGAAGACTGTCAAGGCCAGGGGATTTATTGCGTTTCTGGATTTCTGCTTCAGTGGGAGGATCTATGCAGACTGACTAAGGATCGCATGATGGCAGTGGACGTGTAACCGGAGGTTGCATTGGACAATTAAACTGGAGAGCGATCCAGACGTCTGCGTAGGTTGATCTTTGTACCATCTGACTCACATATGGTCTGACTGATGACCTGAACTTTGCGTCCGGTAGGTCTGCGGCTGGTACCAGCAGAGGTAGCAACTGCCATTTCCTTGTCCTGTTTAGACCACCAGGATTCATGGTCACGGCGAAGACTCGCTTTCAGTTGTCTAGAAATAAAACGGCGGTGCTCAGCGTGCTCCACACTGACGGGTAAGGCTCGCCAATAGTTGATAAGTTCCGCGGAGGTGGCCGAGATCCAACTTTTAGTTGTGCAACGAACAACAACGTAACTGGATAAACCTGCTGAAAACAATCTGTTGCAGTCGCGACCAATGCTGATCCATGTCCTGAGGAGGCGGAGAAGTGAGGTTCTCACGAAGCTGCTTTTGACATTCCAGTTACACGGCGGGGTCGTCCACTTTACCAGAGTTAAGTCGACTTTGTCTAGTCCTAGGCGAGCCACCGAAACGCATGCAAACCGGCGCACGTACTAGCGCATGATCAGTTTCCACGCATATTGACCAATAGGATTTGCAGTCCCGAATACTGCCCCGCCAGCGATGACTTATGTCAATTTGTGACCGACGTTGAGGGGATGATGGAGCGTGCCAGATAGTGTAGTGACGCCTAGGGTGACGAAAGTTCGTGCTAGAGAGGTAGTTGCTAGACGGCACACAAACTGAGTAGTCTTCCTCCATTGTCTGAGCTAAAGTCGTCGTATCCATGCGGGCCTCCAACATGGCGTTCGCTTGGTAACAAACGACCAACATGCGAGTTTAAATCCTCTCCATAATCATGATGCCCGCTTTGGGGTCCTTAGGAACAAATCATGAAACTTCGGATAAAATTAGTCCTTGACAGTATCCGGGCTACAGTCAGTGGGAGCATAGGCGGAGATTACAAAAGAGCACGTTTGTCTTCTCGACGTCTGTTAACCTTGTACGAGCCATGGAGCCTGACAGCACAAAGGCGACTGTTAGTCGGATTCCATTCGAGAAGAACAGCTTCGGCTCTGGCACTAAGGGTGACCCCAACAACCGCTTGCTCAGAAGCGGTAGCCTCGGCGTCTCCAGAAAGTCGAAGGTGGAAACGGGTATAAGGGCGAATTGGTGACGACAATGGGTAGGCTATGCTGGACTCCCGAAGTTATGTTTTGAACAAACAACAGACATCAATTGCAAGGGTTTCTAGAGTGCGCGCGAGATCGGCTTGTTGCCCAATCTATTTTAAGGTGCGCACATTGAACGCCGCCAAGTTGAATGGCCTCTTAGGTCGCAGAAGCGGAGAGGAGAGGATCCGGGATTGTTCAATCCCGGTTTGGCGCTGTGTGATTATGTCAGAGGATGGAGCGGCAACAGTGATATCGGAGGAAGTAATGCTGCTCATCATTGATTGATAAGACAAAGACGGGGAAGAATGATACAGGGGAAGTAGATAAGCGGGTGGCGTGTGATGGGACAGTGTTCGCAGTAGTAGCATGAAAGCAAAGCATCAGTAGAGCAAAGAGTGCAGTTCAGTACCATGGTTCATCAGTAGGCGAGATACTACCTGGTTGCCTAGGCCGAAGTGGGGGGTTGTCTTAGGGGGCAGCCACCGCGAGCCTTTGGCTCAATAGTCTACCGACAAGGCAGCGGGGCGAATTCAGGGAATTGCGCCCATTGGGAGCCGGTGACTGATTACTCGGTTCATACGCCTTTCGTTTGGTCAAGTACCAAACAGGGGCCCAATCCTCTCCACGATGACAGCATCTGATAGTTGGAATACGATGCTACACATGAGTGAAGCAAGGAGCAGTGACTTTATTTAGTGGCGAGTCATATCCGCCACATCGCAGTGTTGTTAAACGGACATATGTGGCTTTTTATAGGGAGAACGCTTGCCAGGCGAAAACCCACCACGTCCTGGAACATTGCCGCCGAACCATTTGCTGGAACGAGAAAATCCCGAACCACCCAGCTGGCACCACGAGGAGGTTGTTCGGCAAGCCAGCCAGGATAACTGCCACTGTATCATATTCACCGACCGGCTAGGAACCCCGTGTCCGCATGTGACATTAGTACACCCATCTCCCCATAGATTTTGTTTAGAATCCGTAGAGCGTACCTGGAAATTTCATTCGCTCATGGAGGTATGAATCTATGCAAGCACGAAGTATACACACACATTCATGCTTTTCCGGTGCGCAATCAATTCTGCGTTATGATGCTTACGGTTGATAGAAATAGCTAGTTTCAATCGAGTACCCCGACCTTTTGGTACCTCCCTCCGATTTCAAGTGCCTTCTCACACCACCACGTTCCCTCTTAATCTTACTATTCCCCTGCTCAGTGGTATGTGGGGATAAATACCTCAGCCAGAAGTAGCTCATACGTCCTGGGCTCTATTCGCGGTTTTGTTATCTCCGCCTGACGCGTACACCTCTGTCTTTGAGTGCAGATTTGCAAGTGGGTAGTTCTTGACCTTTCTCTCCGGACAGCCTTTCTTCCAAGTAGTTATATTATTGTGTTGGTACTGATGAGACAATATGAAATGCGTGCATCTACCAGTATTCATCTTCTCATTGTGCTACTCAAAATACCGAAGGGAAATAGATATTCTAACTTTTCGTTTCTTTTGTGCTGTTTCTATCCCCCATTACGCTTCTTATCACTTTGATGTGACATTTGACTACTTGCCTTACTCCTCTACTTGGCCACTAGCCAGTGACTTGATTGAACCTTGAGTGATGAGGCACCAGTGTGCGATCTTTGTGTATCGCCGCTGCTGTCCTTCATGATCCGCGTGTGATGGCTGACCCCTTTATTGGCGGTACTCTCTATTTGATTCATCAGCTGATTTTCCGGATGTAAGGTCAAGTTGTCACTTATGTGAATCATTACTTTTGCCTTGTTTACCATACTTTTCACCTACCATCGTGCCCATATGAACATAAATTTCACCTCCACCACTATAGTTAGTGCGATTTCTTGCCGATTTTATCATTCTTCTGATATTTGAATGTCCTCTATTTTCATTGCAGGTTGCGATGTTCTCACTGCTTCGTCCTGGTGACCTTGAGGCTCGTTCTAAAGAATTCCTAGCCCTAGCCTCTTCCAACCTTCTCCGACTGGGCTTGGAGACGTCTGCTTCGGTTCTCTCTTCTGAAGTGTGTGGAAATAACCCACAACCGCCAAGTTCGGGTACGAACCCAATGAACAGCCCTGCTGCGAAACTGCGTGACTCTCTCTACATTCTCTTCGATAATCTGATACGACATTCGCCCTGCTTGTCTCACAGTTTACAAGAAGCATGCTTTCCCTATTCCCTAATCCGATGTGCTTACCACAACATGGCTAAGCTAGCTGAGTCTGGTAGCCGGCATAACCTTGTGTCTTCCGGACGAGGCGAAGTAAAACTCCGCGAATAATCCACACGCCTGTTCACAACTTCCTCAACAGCCTCCTAACACTTGCCCCTCGTCACCATCATTTGTTGATAATTTATATCCCCCTTGACTTGAACCCTATGGCGCACAATACGACAAACGAAGTTTTGCTTTTTCTTGTAAAGTTACTTGCCTGCATTTGGTTTACTTCATTTTCTGATTGTTATCTTTTCGTTTTTCTCTACCTTTTTTATGCTAATCGATACAATCTCGATCCTTTTTTGAGTGATTTTCGTTTGCGGAATTTGTTCACCCCTGACATCTCTCAGCAATGAAATCACACCCACTAGCTGATTTCCACGCTGATCGTTTGCATCAGCGTAATGCCACCAGGTGGTGTCCCCTTTACGCCCGGTCGGATTGGGGCCTAAATTGTGTGTGTGTGTGTGTGTGGCTAACTGAAACGCAGTTTCCTACGTGGACGCGCGCAGTGTGACAGCCACTCGATTGCCCTTTTGTGACACTGCACAGTCTTTGCCTAGCATTTCGCATTTCCCTTACTTGGCCTCGACATGTCGCGTTAGCTACGCACCTTTGATTTAGCTTCATGCTAATGATCTCTCCCTACCACAAACGCTAGAATGAGTACCCAATTCGGGAAAATCAATGGTGTATTGTTTCATCTAACAACAACAACAACAACTGTGACGCTTCTCAGCTGGTTCCACTTGAACTCGCTTCACTGGTTTCTTCACGTGCTGCTTCACTCTCTGGATGTCCGACAAAACGGACAGTGACCTTTTTGCAACACGGCCAATTCGTAGTCGTCTGTGTTGAAAAGCTGGAGCGAAGAAAAACCGACATTGAATACATGTGCACAATTTCCAGAGCGGTATGCAATTACACCGCGCGCTCAGCAGGCACGCAAGTTCTCTACAGTGTGGCAACCAATTCATAAAGGCATCGGTGAAATGCCGCAGTGCGAAACCAAACATCTGACCACTGAACAACCGTTCCACTCCGTATTGCTCTGCTGCACTTATATTCGAATCTAGCATATGTATCCATAGGTTACTTTTTCACTTACTCTGGAATCAGTGATTTGGCTACTGGGTAACACATATACTCGGATTTTGCTTGGCCAAATGTGTTATATCAAATAACTGTCATCCTTATTGAGCCCCACGTGGTCACCAACTGCTGGCGCATTTGGCCCGTGGGTGCCTGACACTGCTGTCCAATTGAGATGCTGCAATCCATCGGGATCTACATACTTAGAGGATCTGCATCATCACTATCCTTAGCTGCCAGTATCTCACACACTGGATCGCGTGTCATAAATCACATGTACTTAACCGATACACTCCTTGCGTTCATCAGCAAGTGAATTGAGGCTGTTTGATGGTTGTTTTGTAATTCGCCTGTTATTTTGAGTACGAGGGGGACATACTTGACAGTCCTCACCATTTGCTTACCTTGTGACACGTGAAACACTGAGTTATGCCAATTTCGGGCAAAATGGATTTGTAATACCGCGGGCGTAACGGGCTGGGTCGTTCCAATATAATCACTTCAGAGGCCGGAATGTGTCGCAGCGTCTCTTCGTCAAGGCACACTGGCTTGTATGGCCCGGAGCTGAGCTGAACAATAAACGAAAATGAAAATTGAGACTGGGTTTTGTGGAGCTGTACTGTACGACGAATGAACTACCTTGTAACCAACAAGACGCCATCTGTTACGGAAAGAACGAATCAAGCAAAAACAACTAAGTGGCAGCTACTGATATTACCCTTAGGTCGGAATGTGCATGAGGTAATTGATTCCCCCCCTAGCTGAGAGGTTCACTTGCGGACGCTTCATTATCAGATGACGCAATAGTTTCAGTGCAATGGGTCTTTCTTATCCCGGTGATGCAACATTTTCAGACAAATCGCCAAACTCGAAAAACCGGACTTGCTCACCACAACAGCGTCTAATGGTAAATTCATCACAGAATCAAGTTATTGGAATTTTCTGACTAAACCCTATGTCAGAATGATCGCAGTCCCCGCTCCTCTAGATAGGGAGTCGTGGTCTTAGTCTTGTGGTCAATGCTTTTTACTCTGTGTTCAGATGAGCTGCCTCTCCTGTCGTAATCGCAGAAAAGTGCACTATCACACACGTGTGGAGACGTCAACATATGCTTGCGAATTCTTTCTTGAAATGAACTGCGATAGGCACGGCCGTCATAATGATAGTATGCAATGAATTTCGATCGAACTGCGCGAACTATGTTGGATAGATCTGTATGGTATCTCGGACCCTATCAGTTTTATTCGTAGGTGTCCTTATAGTTCGTGAGAAGTTCTTCATTTCACACCCAGTTGACATGTGAATAAGTTGCGCCAACGAATGATACGCGGCATTTAGCTTGGACAAAGATCACGACAGTCCTCAACTGTTTATAACGGATCTTCCCCCAGTCGTCGCGTATGATGTTTGCGAATGAGTGCGTGATATCTATCTATTGAGTAGGATGAGTATGCTGCTAACAAGTCTGTCAAGATGGAGGAACGTGTATGAGTACGGTCCGCGACATTTAGTCTTTGGTTCTCATAGTAAATTGGTTCGAGACACTCACTGGGCGTGGTCATATCTCCACTCTGTTTTGAAAGTATTGCGTTATCAGAATGAGAAAACCATAGATCTCGCAATTACCACTACCACTACTATGTCGTTCTCTTTCGCTCCTGATCTCCTCACTGCTTACGCACGCCCATCACACGCCAATCCTATTTTCACCAATAATTCGTTTGAATATACCTCTGATGGCAGTCTCACCCATGTCCAAAGAATCCGACCAGTAGCGCTTCTTCGACCTCGATCTCCATTTCGACTGACAGCCTTCAACATTAGAACCTTTATGCAGTAGCGCCAGCCTACTATTGTTGCCTTTTTGGACATTCTAGCTGCGTTCGACTTGGTCTGCTTTATTGTGTTGTCTGCAAAGGAATGGAGTATCCGAAAAGTATACTGCGATACTTCGAGATTTATACAACAATGTCTCTGCTTGAGTAAGGGCTTACGATAAGCTCTCTTCAACTTTCACCGTCACTAGCGGTGTGTGACAGGGATGCCCCATGTTCGCGTTTCTCTCCAACTTTGCGATTCAGGATGTCTTATCAAGCGCTCTGGAAGATCTCCATAGTTCTGGCGTAGAGCTTCTTCCAAACAACCGCGCGACTGACCTGTACTAGACTGATGATATCACCTTGCTTGGTGACGACCCGCAGATCATGCAGGTCCTTCTAAACTGCTTGGTGATTGAATCTACCAAGTATGGCATGACCTTCGCCTCATCGAAATGCAATGAACAATGATTTATCAAGGGTAAAAAGGCATGTGCTTGTTAAGTCCCATAGGATGGCTGGAGTGAAAACTAAAATTGAAAGCATCCACGAATAAGTAAATGGTCATTTTAAGCATTTACCGATTTAACTGCAGTGCTGCATAACGATAGTTTGCAATGAGGACGGGATGTGCACACACAAAACAGTGTAGAGAGTAGTTATAGTTCAGTAAATTCGTGAGGAATAAAATAGGTAAACGACAACGCTCACTCGTGTGTTGCTTCATTTGACCGGTGTGATAGGTTAAGCCAGTTTAGATACATCCATGCTACTCACAAGGACACTTATGCATGTATCCTCATCGCCACGTTGCGGAGAGGGCCGTTAAGCCTTTATTTCGTCCTCCGAGTGAAACGGACTACATCAAGTAATGCAAGTTGAAAAGCCTGTCATCAGCGCGTTTTTTGAATAACGGTACTGTGGAGGCATGGTTGACGTGAGTCGGAAGGGCGTTCCAAGCAAGGGACACACGGAAGGAGAAGACGTTTCGTCAACTGTAGTGCGTAGCCAGTTTGAGCTGATGGCCTCTGACGTTGGTATTTTGGTTCAGCGGCAACAGATTGCGACATATGTGAACTGGGTTCGTTAGTGTTTACTAAACCATGATGTCTCCTCGCTGAGGTTGATATTCACCACTGTACAGTCTCAGGGACTGCAGTCTGCGTTGGTAGGGTAGGTGAAACAAGTATCTAAAGAGTTTGGTTGCTCTACGTTGTGGAGCTCCAAATGCATCGATGTCGCGCTTGCGCCGGGGACACCAGGCCTGGATCTTATATTCCACTTGAGGCATTACGTAGGCGTTTTGCATGTGGGGAAAAATTGATGGCTTGAAATTTTTGAAAGCCATCCGTAAGTGTCCAAAATGCTGACTCGCTCTTCTCCATGCTTTTTCAGACTGTCACGAGCAGCCAAGATCGTTCTGTACGATCAGCCTGAGGTCGCTTTCCTAGGAAGCACGTTGCAACTACTTTTCCCCAGGTCGATATTCATGGGTAAGCTGATGGCGTATGCTCACGACTGCACTTCACCACATTAAACTCCTACTCCGGGATTGGCATCCATCTTCTTCCGTGCTGATTCTTAAAGACGCACAGCTTAAGTAAGTAGATAACTTAATCTACCTTGGGAACTGCGCTTATTCAGATGGTAGTATTGGAAGAGAGATTTCTCTTCGTATTACCAAAGTCCGATCAGCATTCGCTCGTCTCTGGCGTTGTCATGACGTTTCGCGATCGGTAAAGGGCCAGGTCTACAATGCCTGTATTCACGCGGTCCTGTTGTACGGAAGCGGGTCTTGGCCTATCGTTGTAAATGAAATACGTCGGACTTCGACCTTTGATAACGGTTGTCTGCGGAGAATAACTCGTGTGTGGTGGGAATCATGTTTACAACGACGATGTTAGACGTCGCGTCCTGGGTAATACGGGCCTCCCTCCATACAAGCTAACATCACTGTGGCAGCTGAAATGGCTAGGTCACGTCCAACGCATGCCGTGTGAGTGTTTACCACCGCGCGCTCACTCGTGCAGGGTCGCACTGGAAGAAATCGCGTGGTGGCCAACCTACCACATGGCGACAAAACTCCAAGGCGCGGACTTCTAGTCCAGCTGTTGTCGGTCCCGTACATCTTCCGAATTGGAGAGTTAGGGATGAAGAACATCACTGGTTGGAGATACTTGTGGACATAGCGCTTAATCGAGGACAATGGAAGGTTTGCTTGAGTCTATGCCCTAACTCAACTGATCAACACCGTAATAGCAGAACTTGCAAACATGGCAAAAGAATGCGTGAGAAGCACAAAAATCTTTTTTTATATATTCCCCATCTTGTTGTAGATGTATTTATTGTGCACATGCATTGCATAGTTTTAGATGGCTCTATGTCTGTTGTATGGACAGTTGCTATATATATATATATATATATATATATATATATATATATATATGTAGTCCTTCATTAGTAACTTTAGTACGATTACTCTTCCTTACAATGCAGACTGAAACAAAGGACAGGATGGTTAGTTCAGAATGTATACACTCACATCAGCACTCAGTAGCTTGGCCGTAAACGGATCATGCTCCGATGTTGCATCACCGAAATTACTGGAAACCTTCAACGTTTGTGAAACTGCCGGTGTGATAAAAAGGACGCATAAATGTATAAAACACATTATGACAAGAAGTAGAAGTCTCCATGCATCAAGCTTCTCACTTACTTGATGCGATCTCGACTACCTTTTTTATAAAAACCCAACTCAATATCTGTCAAGAAAATGTTTGCATCAGCTACTTGAACTGATGCTTCGCTGCCATACAACCATGATGATGGAATAAAGAATAATAAGGGGGAGAGAAGGGGGACTTACCTGAAAACCTTAGTGCCGTAAGCGAACATTCAGGATCAAAGCGCCTACACCTTGTGTAGACAACATACCGTCAAAAACAGCTGGCTATCGTGCAAAGGTAAGGCGGAATCGGTGAGACATCTTCTTTGCGGCTTTCATTGCCCTGCTTCATAATTAGCCATTACCCCGCAGATAACTTAGCATCAAACATATTTTAAACACGCAATCCGATTAGGATACGACAGCAGACGCGTCACTGGTGTCGGTTGTGAGCCATGTCCTGTCAAGTTTCGAGACAAGCACAAGGCGAGGCACGTAAACTGCAGCCCGGAAGGCGAGAAGGACCATCGGCACCCAGTTTGGTCGTCAGTAACCTCATTTCCCGCTGCCAAGTCAACTTCTGTTCACCTCGACCCTACACCTGACAGACTAAACAAGGTCCTCCTAGGTAAGCGGTGATCAGGCATACATAGTACGTGCCCAAGCCAACGCAAAATATCAAATGATACCTGTTGCTCTAAGGAACTAGCAGGATTATCACTACCTAGTGCAAGTCTACGCACATCATCGTTGCGGACACGCTGGTGCCATCCGACACCAACAATGCTCCGCAGACAGCAATGATCAAATACTTGAAGGCGCCTCAGACCTTTAGACCGAAGGGGCCAAGTCTCACTACCATAGAACAGAACGACCCTCACTGTCGCCTTAGATACATGGCCTTTCAGAAGGAGAGAAACCCCCTTCTCTCGCCGAAGATGCCGCAGGTTTCAGAAGGCAGTCCTGGCCTTTTCAATGCGTGAACTGACTTCGTTTTCTATGCCCCCATCGTTGCGGATACAGCTGCCGAGGTAAGTAAATGGATCAACCACCTCGAGTTCCTCGTTATCAATAGTCAAGTGGTCGTAACGTGGCTGGTGGTCCTGCAGCAACACTTTGTACTTGTAGGGTGTGAAACGCATACCAAATAATGGGACCACACTGGACTGGTTTTTCAGGGTTGATTGTGCCGCCGCAACATCGTCGAAAAGCAAGCCGATATCGTCCACATAATCACCAGGCAGCACTTCAACGCCTACATCGTGAGATTCCGCAAGGGAACACTCCATGATAGAATCCACGACGAAATTGAACAAAAATGGGGAAATCGGACAACCCTGTCGAACGCCACTTGTAGTCGAAAAGCTATCCGATAGGGCACCATAGACCCTGACGTGGCCTGTAGTGTTCGAGTATAGAGCACGAAGGATGTTCACATATTTCGTGGGAACACCTTTCCGCGCAAGTATTTCGAACAGAATCGATCGATCGACTGAGTCGAACACAGCTTTTTTCTGCCTACGGTATGCGTGGCACTGCTCTAGTACCTGCCGCAGGGTGAATACATAGTCTATACAGCCACATCCTGGGCAGAAACCGGCCTGCTCTTCCCTAATCCGAGATTCCCGTTCCACAGTGAGGCGACGATCGAAATTCGAAACCAGTAATTTTGTCATAAATGGTGTTAGGCTAATACCCTCTGTGGTTAGAACAGTTTGTGCAACTGCCCTTCTTGTATATTGCCACTGTAATCTATACACTCCAGTTAGCGCGGACACTTCATACCAGATACGTTCGGATGGGGAGCTCAGTGCTTTGCAATGACCTCACTTTCACACATAAGTAGTTCAAGTGGGAGGGAATCCGGGTCAGTGACACGAAAACGATTGAGGGCTGGGATCGCGTTTCGGACCTCAGCCTCTGACGGAGGCTCAGAAGTAACCGTCCATGATTCGTCCTGCATCACCTGAGTAGGAAGAGGTCCGGGAGCAGGGGTCAAGCTGAAAAGATCTTGAAAGTGTTCCGCCCAACGAGCCATATGGCGCTCCTTATTGTGTATCAGTGCACCCACGCTGTCTCTGATTGTCCCACACGTCTGGTTTCCTGGGACCAGTGGTGCGGATCAGCTGGAAGAGCTTGCGGTAATTGCCTACTGATCCTGCCTCCTCCATTTCTTGAGCCCTACTGGTCCACCTGGCTTCCACGTCTTCACTTTGCGTCAATTGTTGGAGCACCGCCATGTTTACTGGCGACCCACCGTTGTCATGTTTCTCGATATAAAAGGTACCTTCGATTCGGTGGATCGATGTACCCTTTGGGACTGTCTGCTGAGAAAAGGTATGTCCGATAAATATGTAAACATTATTAAAGCGCTGTACGCGCATACTTCGGGCAGAGTGAGGGCTTATGGCAAACTGTCGCCGCCCTTCAATATCTCCAGCGGTGTGAGACAAGGTTGCCCGCTGTCACCTTTCCTCTTTAACTTCGCTGTTGATGAAGTCATGGAAACAGCGTTCGCTGGACACAACCTAGAAGGTGTAGAGCTACTTCCTGGTGTACGACTTGACATTGCTCTCATATGTGACAGCGCCTAAACGTGCCAGGCTGCACTGTACCGATGAGCATTGGTTGTCGATCGTTTTGGGCTATGTTTTGTTCCATCGAAATGCAAATTTCTTCTCCAAAATTGGCAGGGACCCACCAGTGCGCTGACCCTTGGTGGTGATCAGCTAGAAGTCGTTCAGGAATTCAAGTGCCTGGGCAGCTATATCAGCGCCCGTGATACTGATACTGGTTAGAAGCAGCGAGTAGAACATACTCTATGTAGCTGCATCAATTGTTTCTCTTTGACATTAACGTATTAATTATCGTTCCGCTCTTTATATTTTGCCTCTGCAAAGTGTTTGTCTAGAAGCTTCTTAAATTCGGACAATGAATTCACCTCTATTACCGGTTGCGGCAGGTTGTTCCAGGTATTCACCACTCTACGTTCGAAACAGAGTTTGTGAGCGACCCGCTTCAACTGCGGTACGATAAGTTTGTATCGGTGTCCTCGCGTGCTGCTTGGTGTGCGCACATGAAGCAGTTGTCTCAACATGGAGTAATCACTCAGATGTACTATCCGGTGCGTCATGATGAGGTCAACCCTCAGCCGACGATATGCTAGGGTGTACAGCTCTAGTTTCTTACATCGGTCTTCGTATGACATACCTCGTAAGTTGGGAATCAGCCTGGTGGCTACATGCTGCACCCGCTCAAGCTTTTCTACTTCGCCCCGGGTGATGGGACAGTATGCGGGAGTGCCGTACTCCAGCATTGGTCGTATTATCGAGACGAAGAGGCGAGAAGCAATCTCTTCGGACCAAGTGCTGAAGCTGCGCCTGAGCGCCCAAAGTATCCGAAGGCTGTTTTGGTACAGCCTATTCGTGTTGTCAACGGACTTTAGGTCGCAGCGTGAGAGCACACCGAGGTCGCGCACGAAAGACGCGGGATGCAGCGGTTGACCAGCCACTGTGTACGTTCGCCTGTGCCCGAACTTACCCAACCTCATGAATTGCGACTTAGTAGGGTTGATTGGAAGGTTAACCTCTGCAGACCATGTTGAGAGGCGGTCGAGATCCTGCTGAAGTAAATCACAATCATTGAGTGTGCGGATTACTCTCCACACCTTCAAGTCATCTGCGAACAACGCACATGGTGATTGGAGTAGCTTATGCACATCGTTTACATGGATCAGAAACAATATCGGCCCCAGTGCAGTGCCTTGGGGCACGCCGTTGCTCGATGGATACCAGTCCGTTAGATGGTTGTCCACCTGGACTCTCCACTTCCGATCCACAAGGAAATTTCTGATCCATTTGTGTAGCGAACCACCAACACCGTACATCCTCAGCCTGTCAAGGAGCACTGCATGGTTGACCTTGTCAAAAGCCTTACTGAAGTCAATGTAAATGACATCGACTGAATGGCCTTGGTTCATCGCTTGTAACCACTCCTGCCTTGTCAACAGTAGGTTGGTGATGCACGAACGACCTTTCGTGAAACCATGCTGTGCGGAGGTCAACAGGTTTTTCGACTCGAGAAGCTGCAGAAGGTTCTTCTTCACGATCTTCTCGAGCGTCTTTGCCAAAATAGCAGTTAGGCAGATCGGCCGGTAATTATCTACGTTGCTTGGGTTACCACCTTTTAGTATAGACTTTACGACTGAGCATTTCCAGTCGTCTGGTAACAGTCCAGTGGATAGTGACCGTGAGATCGAAGCTGAGGTTACGAACCGTATAGAAAAAGCTCGAGGTGCTTTCACCAATGGCCGTCACCTGTGGAGCCGATGCGACATCACTCTCCCTGAAGGGTAGTGTGTATAATGCAGCCGTCCGTTCAACCCTCGTATACCGTTGTGAAACCTGGCCCATCAGGCTGACAGACATAAAGAAGCTAGTCACGCTCGCTCATCACTGCCTTCGCAGCTTAGCTCATATCTGGTGGGAGCACCACGTGAGCAATGAGCGTGTTCGACGTCGCGTATTTGGTGCAGGAAGGGCTAGTGAACCGCTGAGCACCATTATATCACGCACCAGGCTCTGATGGCCGGGCCACGTGTTGCGTATGCCAGCACACCGACTCCCGCGACCTGCATTGTTTGCGCGCCGGGGGTGCGGTTGTAGGAGGAAGAGGGGAGGCCAAGCGATAGCTTGGTCGAGAGAAATAAAAACCCTCACTTTGAAGTTGGCGTCGTTTGGTGCATCCCGACTGCCTGGCTGGGATCCTAAGGACGAAGAACACGTTTGATTGGACACACTTGCATATACAGCTAGGAGCCAGCCTCAATGGCGTTTGTGTTGTGAGTTCCTTTATCCATCCCCTCTCCTTTAGATTCCCGCCCCCCCAATCACGATCCCATTTGTTAGGCATAATATAACACTCCTGTTGCGGCACGACAACCGGCTGTTAGCTCTCTGGAACGATGTCCATCCGTTACTGAGGACTCAGCTAGCGTGCCTCTCTTTCTTTCTTTTGTCTTTCGTGTTGCGACCTAACAGCTGAGGTGATTTCCACCTGCAGCTAACATGTATAATCATGATGATGACCGCTTTTTCAAGCAGTTTCTTTCCCATATTCCTTCTTTATAAATATCGTTATTTATTCAAATATCGTTTTGTTCTTTTATCGTCCCTCACTCGTTTGGTGATGGTAGCAAATACATTCCTGATTGAGCAGTTCTGGTTTAAATTTCTCCCAATTCTTCCATTCCGATTGCTTGGTTTATTTGCGGATCTACGTATTCTTTCTTCGATGCTACCCTCTCCACTCCCCCACCAAACTGTTGTGCACGAATGTGGCCTCGTCTCATTCCCCGTGATCTTCAGTCATTTCATTACGTATCCCAGTTTTTACAATTGGTTGGGATGCATTTCGTGATGTTTGCCGTGCTTTGTTGAGCTGTTTTTTCCAATGAAACTCAGGTTCATTCCTCGTAGTCAACCATTTGAAGTCATTTCTACGTTTTTCTCCTATACTCCTTAAAGCCTTAACTCTGAAAGCGGCTACCGCTTACACTGCCCTCTGTCAGCCATAATCTTAGATGCGCATCTTTATTGTTGATGCTCGCTACCCACGTGTAACTACTTCATTACTGAACTGCTGTGTTTAATTCGCACTAGTTAAAGTCAACTTGGCGTAGGGTCTTAACCTAGCGTGCTCTCTTTTACTTTCTATCACGCAAATGCAAGAGCGGCGACGCATAAGACAGTCTCGTTGGTAGGCGGTCACCCCGCATCTCCATATCCATGAACGATCCATAGTTGTGGTCTCTTGACTCGCTGGTACCATCGAGGGAGACACTCCACGAAACGTACGCACTGGAACTATTTTAACGCCTGCAAACTTCACGTATGCTACCAAAAGTCCGGAACAAAATGTATGCTTCGGCAGTTTGCACAACCCCCTTTATCTTAATGGGAATGGGGCGGAATTATCTCAGTTCGTAATGCAGCCTGAGCTTTAAAGAGCGGCTCATGTCTGCAATCCGGGGTCGGCCGGTGACCGAGTGGTCTGTACGCCTGACTTGCGATCATAAGGTCACCGGTTCGAATCCGCGTATGGGTAGGCGTCCTCGCGGTATATTCAGCCCACGCGCCACTGGTGGTGCTCACGCGGCAGGGAAGCGCCCTTACAACGCGCAGTTGACACATTATTATTATTATTATTATTATTATTATTATTATTATTATTATTATTATTATCGTGTATACTTACACGTGCTCCCTAGTGTTCGCAAACGGGTTAGCACTTTGTCCGTATTTTTATATTCTTTGACAAGTACGTGAGCCCTGTGTGCAATGTAACATCAAGACCGGATTGGTTCCGCGCTGATTCCCATAGCAGCTGACCGTGTCCTCCATGTCAGCAGCTTCAATCATCATCCGAAATCTAGTGAGGTTGTGCGCGGTTTACATTCGCGAAATGTGGACACCGATGACGAAATGGAATGCGTGTAGACCACGACAGAACCGACCGTCTCAGTTGACTATTGTAAAATACTATTGCCCGTCAGGCGAAATGTGCTCCACTTTTCCCTGCATAGTGAATAGTGTGTAGCGGTACAAGCATTCGCGCGCTTAATGACCGGATGTCGCATTGTGGTGCGTGAATGGACCTTTCTACCTCATGTCACTCCAACCATTTAACACGCTATTGGAGCATCCACCAAACGTTTATATTAATGTGTTTTGGAACCGCACCGTCACTGAATAACGCATAAAATAGCGCAAATAAAGTGTGAGAATTCTATCTGCCCCGATTACGGTTGGTTCGTTCTGGCCGTTCTTTACCTTTAGATAACACAGTCGAACCCTTCGGATTGTATTGGTATAGTCTTAGAATTGTTTGTAGGCCGACGTCCCAGAGGATTTGGAGCGTTCCGACCTCGCGAAACCAATCGCACCTTGTTGCAGTACTGGCACATTGTCTTTCCTTTTAAAATTGAAGCAAGTTATTTGCTTAAGTAAGCCGAAATCGCTATAGTGGGTTGAGTTACCTCTTCAACACCTATGGACATCTTTGATGAGGCCAAATTTGCCGGCTCTCAGCTGATCGATGTATCGTTCAAGATGCCATCCAAGATAATCGATGGGCTCACAAGGCCTCTTTTGACCAGACTACGACTCCGCAGGTGTCATATCAGATGATTGCATATTTTGATGAAACTATTCGCAAGATTACCTGGACATGGGGAGATTGCACACACGGTAATTTCATTAAGAGGTTAAAAATGCTTGATCGCCAGCAGTCTCGTATGCTGGTGTATGATGTTCAAATCAACCACATGCATTTCCTGTTACTGTAGTGGACCATCGGATTTAATTCGTACTTCGTGCGCAAATGGACGCACGAAAGACAGTTCGAATCGTCCATTCACTTTCACCACAAGCAACAATCTGCGCATTCATCTCATGTTTCCTATCGGCACACCGCTTGAGAACATCTCTGATTGCCTTCTGCTCATCCGAACAAACCAGCTACATGTTCTCCCGTGGAACTGATCACAGGGTACGGAGATGTCATGAGATGAATTAATCATGCGAAAGGCGGAAACATCAGCCTCAAAACACAGCGCCCTCTACTCATATTGCTTAGTTTTCATCTTTTCTTAACGCCATTTGAGATTATCAACTTCTCGACGTTCCTAACTATCCGCGAGCCTGGAATCATCCGAAGTATTGGCAAATTAAATTAGACGTTCAGTTGTGGCGCTCACCGAACTGGGATTCACCTTTTGACATCGTCTGCTGCTAAATCTGCTACACCGATGATGTCACCGCAACTGATGAAGAAACGCTCGTGAACAAATTTTCCAGTTCCACGAATAGCACAATGACTTGAGGTCCACAGGATATTAACACCGACAACTTGATAATTTGTTCTACTGTGAATAAACACACATGTTATTCAGATCTACTTTCTGTGCCTGTCATGCGTTTTCAGTCCGTACCAGTGTCTTTGGGACTGCTGCAATCATGAATGAGATCACTATTGGTTAGTAACAACCGGTCTACACATCACATTAACCTTGATAATGGGACGGATGGGAAGCGCACGACAGTGCTGTGGATAACCAACTGAAGGTAAGAAAAAGAAGAGAAATTTTGGTGCCGTTTTTTTCGACTGACGTTTGGCAGTGATCTCTTTAAAAACTCCACTGCATTTGATCAGTCAACCACAAAGACAAAATTTAGCAATGTTGCCTACTGTGTACGCAAATTTTCTTGCAACTTGGGGGACTCTTATGCGCAATTCGGCATACCGAGTTTTCGAACCCTTACACTTGAGAGAAGCCCGTATCCGGCAGGAGCCGTTTATAACAGTAAGCCGATTTTATGTTGCCAAACGCTTGTTTTGCTGATGGATTTTCGCGACTGACTCGTCGCACCACAAAACCTCACTGCGTCTCTTTGTAGCGTCATCAAACAAATCTTGCTTTAAAATCCATCCTGGGATTGTCACAGTAATCGACCTCTGCGCCCATTATGATGGATCGTATTCTACTTATGCGCATATCTATTGCGTCTCCTTAGGCATACAATCTATGAGTGTTCGAAGTTTGATCTTCTTGAAGGCTGCTCAGATAATTCCTTCCCGATGTACACCTGGGACAGTATGATATCATAGAAAGTAGCTTCCTCTCATCTCTTTCAGTAATGCGTAGAGTAGTTAACAAATTGCAACTAGGCCGCTCTAGATGCTTGAGGCACTCACCAGATTGATCTGTTCGGCCGTTCTTTTTGCCATAAGTGCCATTCGCCTTGAGAGTCTGAGGACACGGATCAAATTTCAGAAGTTCCAAAACTTTCTCGTGGGATAAGCTCTCTTCCGGTATGAACTCTACCAACGGTAATTGTTCTGTATGAATGGGGAGATTTAGAGAAATATAGCGTAAATCGTGTCTGTCCAACGGGTGCATCTGCCCACTAACGATAGTGAGAACAGAAATGGCAATCCGACTACAATACAATCCTACTCGCGGCGAGCCGAACAGGCAGCCAAGCGTCCGTGAGTACGAATCAACCGAATAATTCAAATCAAAGCATATACACAGCCTATGCAGAAAGGTTGACATTCGGTCAATCGAAGCTGATCAGTTCAAAAGCGTAGGATCGAAAAGGTACCTCATGAACGAGCGAGTTAAAGAAAGACTGGTAGGCATGAGACGCAAGACCAAGATAAGCTGATCACAAATATGAGGCAACAGAAACACTCAAGCGGGGAACCATAGAAGAGCGCGGGATGAATAGGGGTGAGCGAGGCAAACTCACAAAACAACGGAGAGTGTAGTTTTCTCACACGCGCTATAACACTAGACTCAGTCAGACAGTCATGACATACCCGGAAAAGCACTGTACGGCCGGTTCATCTTTTCTGGAATCGTCAGCAGTGCGCATTCCATCTGACCCTTCTAGGTAGGGATCAAACTAGCAACTCGACTGTTGCCAGCTTGTGGTTGAGACCACTGAGCTACGGAGGACGGCAACGATCGTCGTGACTAAGTTACTGGATAGTTAGTGGCGCTATATCCCATCTAGTAACTTAGTCACAACGGTCGTTGCCGTCCCCCGTAGATCAGTGATGATACGGTCGTGAAATCTGTCCCATCAGGTCGACCATCGCTGCCTTCGCAACTTAGCCCATGTCTGGTGCGAGCACCGCGGGAGCAAGGGATGTGTTCGCCGTTGTGTATTTGGTGCGAGAACAGCGAGTGATCCGCTCAGCACCGTTATATCACACACTAGGCTCTGATGGCTGGGTCAGGGGTTGCGCATGCCATTCCACTAACTCCCGAGACATACGTTGTTTGCGCGCCCGAGGTCTGGATAGAGGAGAAGGAGGGGAAGCCAAGCAATGACTTGGTCAAGAGGAATGAAAATCATCACTTCGAATTTGGCATCGGTTGGTGAATCCCGACTGCCGGGCTGGAGTCCTAAAGACGATGAACGCGTTTGGCTGGACACACTTGTTGACACTGCTAGGAGCTGGCCTCAATGGCGTTTGTGCTGTGCGTTTCTTCGTCCATCACCTCTCCTTTAGATACCTTCTCCAAGCACGATCTCATAGCAAATTAATGATATGATATTTTACATTATGTCACTTGATTTTCGAATATATTCGTGGTGCTATTTTAGTATCTTTTTGTATTGCGGCAGATTAGCAGAACGTGTATTTCACCCTCAACTAACTTGTATTGATGATGATGACCAGAACGCTTATGGAGATCGGTTACCCTGAACGTTTCGTGGAGAAGCATAACCAGGTCAAATTGCCGAAGGGAACGGTGTCGACAGCACCTAAGAATAAGGTATACCTCTAGGTCTCATTTAAGGTTAACGCCGCCAAAATGAAGACAAGCAAGCGTTTGACCTCTGCCATTCAGGCAGCCTACTGCGCCGCAGATGGTGTAGTAAACACTAGAACCCGGAAACTGCTGCTACCTTCAGTAAAGAAGGAGAAACCTATGGGCACCAAAATAAACCGTGTTTACTAATTTGATTGTAGCTGAGTCAATTACGTTGGCTGGACAGACAGGGTTTTGAAATCTAGGGTGAAAGAGCACCTGCCCAACTAGAGTCTGTGTGAGGTCAACCAGCCCTCACCTAATGTTCTGTGTTCACGCCATCCACTAGCGTCATCAACAGCCAGACATTTTTGTAACTCGTCATCGGATTGACTCCGGCTCCGTGTTTTGGGTATTATTACGTTATCCTAATCCATGTTTCTTGCGGTTCGCCGAGACCGTGGCGATAAGCCAGCTAAGGCGTGTCCTGTGTGAAGAAACAATCAGTCGTTAACGTTCGGTTGCCCTGGTCCTAGGACCATAGCCGCCGTTCACACTGTCTTTGGTCGGTTTGATAACACTTTAGAAGTATAAAAATAATTTCTTGTTATCACATTGGTACTGATGAGACAATACAAAATGCTCGCAGATATCAGTGTTCCTCTTATCAGTGTAGTATTCCTTATTGAAGGGAATTAACTGCTTTAATTTTCTCATACCTTCAATACGTTTCATTCCGTCAATAACGGTATTCCGCATACATTGCGTCATAACACGTTCTAACCTTAACGACCTCTCCGCGCGTCGCTCTCATTCATCGTATCCAGAGCGAATAGATAAACAACTGATGGGCATTTTTTGTCTACCGACAAAAAGCCCACAGTATGTTCTTTAGCCGTAATACTTGAACTCTCATTTTCAGCCCGAACGCCCGAAACACGCAAAACATTCTGTGCCTAGTTTCTCGTTGTTAACCATCGGTCTAGTGTTTCAGTAGAGTTTACTTCTGAAACTGGAATGATAGACGACGGTGAGTGCTGAGCTACATATAGCTCCTCCCACAAAGCAGCTAGAAACCCCTCGCGACTCTTATTAGGCCGCTGTTTTTTCTTAAGAATAGTAATCTTTGAAATGAGCGGGTAGATGTTTTCTCCCTTGGCTCATCTTGACACATATCCTCTGGCCTAAGCGAAGGGTACTTGTTTGTGGAGCTCGCAACGTTCACGGTATCTCCAGCTACTCTTGTCTATCAATTAGCCGCCAAACACAATTCGCGCGCATTTGAGTCGAGAATGGGAACAGTTGAATCACACATCAAACGTCCATGTGTCACACACACACGCAGACACAAAAAACAGTGACAAACTAACCAAATGAAATGAAGGAGTAAACAAATGGTTCTCCACAATGCGTGCACCGATTCCCAGTTGCGTTCAGTAGAGGGTTTGTGGTCGAACAACGATAACAGATGACATTCACCTCCTGCAATGGAGAACAGTGGAATGAAGAAACTCACTGGGCATTCGCGGATCCAAAAAGTGCATAAGCGCAGACTCACTGCGCGGCCAAATTTCTGCTGAGTCTTATAAGGCAAGTGCAACGCTTCTATTACCCTCCGTTTGACTTTGAAATGCTCAACTACACACCAATTGTTACCTGCTTACTCTTATCCTTGACGTGACATGCGGTTTGTGTAACTCTTCGACCCATCGAAGTATACTTAATAGAACGCTCGGGCTCCTCGAGGGCTACTCCTAACAGATACGTCAATGACCGGCGGTCATACACACTCAGTCTTATGGGTGTTGAAAATGAGATGGCGCCAATTCCTGTAATGCAGGATCGTTGCCATCTCTCTGCCACCTTGTTGCTAGGCTTTTAAGTCAAATGCTTTGTTCGAGGACCCACATCGTTCTACTGCTTGGGTTCGGACGAGCTGGCCGTATCCCAACCATGGTTTTTTACATTCATGATGGTGATTGCAGCGTGTCTCGTGTTTTCAATACATCTGCAATGCTTCAGTAAGGTCGCATGCACTATGATAAAAGTACCGTCGTTTACGTGTATCGTTTAACTTTAATTGTTGTTTCAGAATAATTAATTAATTAGCTCCACGCCTAATGCAAAAGTGGCTCAAACACGACTAGTTTATTGAAGTTCCGGTAGCTGTCTACTTATGTTGTCTGTAATGTTATGCAGAATCGTCATATTTTCTTCGACTCTTCTTCCATGTTCCCCTTGAGCATATATTGTTCAACGAATTACAGTGGGCACAGATGTAGCAGATGTCATCTGTATGGACATTTTTAACTGTGCTTTCTCCATACTGATAGGGAATGACACCCACGGAATATCGGAAAAGGTGAATACCCCTTCCTCACTTTCAACCTGCAAGGCAGGTTGTTCCCCTTCCAGTTGTTTTTTCCGTAATAATAATAATCTTCGAAATGACTGGATAGATGTTTTCTCATTTGTCTTATCCTTGCATACATTCGGCTGCTTATGCATAGGTGACATGGTTGAGGAGTTCGCAACGTTCATTATACCTTGAGATGCTGTTGTACGGTTGTGAGAACTGGCCTGTCCGCTCGTGAGACATGAAACGATGGTCAATTTTTGACAAACCGTTATCTGTAAAAGAGTGCTCGTGTGCGGTGATGATGACCGAGTGTTTAGAGCAAATAGGCCCTGTCTCTAAAACCTTGATCTCCAACACTATGTGTGGGTCCTGTCATGTATTATGTATGCCAGCCTATCGCCTCCCAAGTGGAGCGTCATTTACGCTTTCCGGAAGAAGATGGAAAGTGCCGCGGTGGACAACCAATGTTTTAGAAAATTAGCATGAAGAAGGTAACCTCAAGCCTTACATCAGTCGGACCAGTCCTCTTTTCAAGAAGGCGAGCATGCGACACGGACTCCCAATGGTCAGAAACGCTGGATGATATGCCCAGCAACAGACAGCACTGGCGCCAGTTATGTTTAGTCGTATTGTGCTTCATTCCATTTTTAGTCGAACAACACAAAAAGATTCAAAATCACGTGTATAAAGCCAAAAAACCGTTTCTGTTCTATTTTTTCCATTTTACCATGGTTCAGACAACCTCGTATGTACTCCGTGTTTATATGGATTGGCGGCATCCGTGTCCGGATTAGCCTGTCACTGTAGCCTCCACGGGGACAGCCACAGAACGCCTGGCCGTCTACAGAAGTTGACCTACCGGTTAACCCGACCAAGTCCTTATTTATGAGTCTGGGGAGGGATGGTAATGGGCGTGCGTACACCCTGGCCGGCCACCCGCTGCATCCCACCAGTACCGTAAGGCATCTAGGCCTACTCTCACGCTGTGATCTGAAGTATGTCGACAACACGAACAGACTGTACGCAAACGTACTACGCCTGCTTTGGGCACTTAGACGCAGCTTCTGCACTTGGTCTGAAGAGATTGCCATCGGTCTGTTCTCTTCCATAATAACACTGGTGCTTGAGCCGCCTATTGCCCGATCACAATAGGTGAGATGCAGAGACTAGAACGGGTCTAGCATGTAGTTACCCGGCTCATCCTCAGTTTACGGGGTATGTCGTACGACGACCAATGTAGGAAACTAGGACTTTATACCCTGTCATATCGTCTGCTTCGAGTTGATCTCATTATGACTCACCGGACACTGCACCTTGGCCACTTCCCTATGTTCTAGCCGTTATTACACTTTCGCGCACCAAGCAGCACACGCGGACACCGGATTTAAAGCACATCGGTCACTCTCTATATTTCGAGGGTCGAGTGGAGAAATATTGGAACAAATTGCCAGAGACGCTAGTCGAGGCAAATCGGTGTCGGTATTTAAGAGGTTCCTAGACGCCCACTTTGCGGACTACAGCTATAGGGAGCGCATTACACCCGTATATGATGTAGTGCAGCTGCAATATGCTGCCACCGCGCAGGAGCCAGCGACGTGATTTCGCGCATGTGCCCGGTCCACCTAGGATGGAGCAACACAGATTTTTTATTCTCACTCTCTATTCTCACTATTCAGAGCGATCATGGATGGCTTACGTTGCACCACCCACAGCTCCATCCACATAACCCATATGCAGTGTAAACCCGAAGGAATAAGACCGGGAGGCATGTATATTTGAGCCACGTTTTATCAACAGAGCCGGCCCACACTCCTTCAACATGCACAGCATCAGTATTCATGTCTATCTATGTAGAGAATCATGCGTACAGACGTACACAAGACGGTCGCTAGGCCGTAGTCCGCTCCATACAGGATGGAACGAATCTTTGAGTCTGGCAAGGTCACGTGTATCGTGCACCCCGTCCCCCCAGCAAGGATTCACAGTCTCCTGGAGGTGGGGTGTTAGACAGGTAGGCACCTTACCAATATGCACATTAAGCGTGATCACACCGGGGATATCGAACAACCAACATAGAATTCGAGGGAAAGCAAACACGCAGCAAAAGAACAGAACTGAACAAAGCAAATAAAGTGGAAGAACTTTCATCCAGATTATCATATATATATATATATATATATATATATATATATATATATTATATATATATATATATATATATATATGATAATCTGGATGAAAGTTATTCCACTTTAAAATCTTTCGAAATACTGGTAGCTTAGGTTGATAATTCAAGTGTTCATTTGTTCTCCGAGCTTGGCGGTTTTGTCGCAAACGTTTCACCACCATGCGAGGTGGCATCCTCAGTGCAGTAAGCTTGCACGCTACATATCACTGCACTGAGGATGCCACCTCGCGTGGTGGTGAAACGTTTGCGACAAAACCGCCAAGCTCGGAGAACAAATGAACAATTGGTTATTCCACTTTATTTGATTTGTTCACTTCGTGGATTAAACCGGTCTGTGGCGCGGTGTAGAATAAGGCTATCGGAAGAGCAACGAAGTATGGGTGTGCTATTAAATACTTACCTCGGAATCCACAAGAGGTTTTGATCGAATGTCCAAACTGGCAAGTTCCACTGCTTTTGTCATTTTGTATGGCATATGTAAATGCTGTAACTGATCGTAAACACATCGGGCCAATTTGTAGCCGCCCAGAGTTTTGCCATGTCGTGCTAGTGTATACAACACAGCGCTGTGAACATTATGGGAGCAGGGTTAAGGACTGAAACACGACTTCGTGGTGTGTCTTGCGACCGATAAAGTGAAAGAACACAAGGCGAAATGGATTGTGTGCCTGGAATTCTATCCGGTGTTATCTGTGAATAGGGGAACTTGGTCAAAGCTTTAGATTTTGATTTTCGTTACGTGATGTTGCTGAGCCCTGTTCCGGTACGAGTGAGGTGCTGTGAGCAAGGGTGGGGTGTTCAATTTCACTTATCTCGAAAGTCGGCACACGCGACATCCTAAACGTCTGTCTGTCAATGCACTACTCGAATGCGATGTGTCTTACACCAGATTCGTCTAACCTTTGCCCTAGGATCAGATGATGACTCTTTTTTGCTGTGGGGGATCCTTGCTGTCCACTGACCGTCTGAAGGAGTTTATATGGGTGTCACTCACCACACCATCGCTCGCATCCTCGGGAACGTCGTGATCAACACGTTGTATGGGTAACTTAGCGCATTGACCAATAAATTTGGTCTGATGTGTGTGTCTTCCCATCCCGAACTAATTCCACTATCAGTTGACTGCTGCGTCGAAACGCCGGCCTCCATCTCGCAGATCCAAACTGTGTGGCGAACGAAGCCAAACCAAAAGCGCATTTGCTCTGAGCTGCCTAGGCGCATTTATTTTGGGACGATCCTCAGCTGCAAAGTGCCGAAAATCTTTCCGAAACTCCAACCAACCCAAGCGAGCGACATTTACGCGCCTGTCGATGGCCGGTAAATAGGCAAAATGAGGACATCCAGTCGCGGATAATAACGCGGATGGCACGACTAAAAACCCGAGATCCCAACCGGATAACTTTGTTTCCATATGCAGTCACAAAGTTGAGCGCATAAATTTATCCTTGCCGGCAGTTCACTTTGATAGCGTATGACGCGGTATTGCGAATATCCAGTGATTCTGTTCACTGCAATTCGGTTTGTCAACTTTGATGAATGCGCCGAAGTAAAATGAATTCAGTTCCCTTGCACCTCTCGCTGAAATAAACATAATGAGAACCATAATAATAAATCGAGAGCAATTAACAAGAACTCACAACGTCATATGTGACAGAACGAATGCAATAACGCCGCGAATTCAGTGGTCACTTTATAGCCGATACGCTATCTGAACAGTGGTGTACCCAATACAGAAGACTTGGTCCAGAAAAGCGATAAGAACCAGTCCTACTCGGTTAGCCCCTTCTCGGTCTTTACTGGGACGTTGACTGGTCATTTCGGCATCTGATCTAACTGTACTATTTGTCAGGCATCTGCATCCATGATACAATCATGCTGATCTGTAACGAAATCATGTCCTTCATAAGTCCCTTAAGATGCTTCTTAGACCAAATTACATCCAGCGCCCCACCTACATGTACTCACGCCAGATGCAATCTGAATAAGGTGGGGAGATTTTGAATGACTTACAGAGGAACATGACTTGATTGTGAAGGAAACTGACTACACTTTGAATACATTTGACTAAGAGATGGCGTAGACACCCGGAAAAGAATGCGCGCCCGGGCAGTCGTTTTGCAGACACAAAGAACACAAGACTGAGACATCGAATGCGATCCGAATTAAACAGTTCTTCCACTAAGATACGCAGTACAGAAGTTCGGTTACAAAACACTAACTGAAGCGATACCCTGCAGATATCAGCAGTCAAACACTGTCAGTTTCCCAACTTTCTTAATACACCATGGTTGGGTCTGCTGGCTACACAGTAAGAATTGCCTCAATGCAGCATTGTCTGCCCTTATACCCAGCGATTACACGCAGAATAGTGTGAATTGATGGCTAGCAAGAAGTCCTATTGTCCCCATGATTTATACTGTCATACAGTTAGTGTGTGGAGGACACATTCCACAACATCATCACATACGGGTGGTCGAAATCCGGCCTAGGTTACCCACCTTAGCATACATGCCACAGCATGAACCGAAGCGCACAACTGTCTGTGGCAAAAAGTGCTGGCTCTATTAGAAAATGACACCAATAAGTCTAAACACAAAGCAAATGTTGCTCTGAATGTTATATGTTTGCCTGTGCATGTGTGACTTATGCTACGCATCAGAGGAAACCCTCGGTTTGGGGACCGGAATTTCCGATCACATTTCGTTCACCTTAGCTCGGGCTAATCGACAAGCGAGGTGCCATGATATAGCAGGTAGTGGAACACTCGGCACCATGATGGACAGAGTTGCATGCTGCTACTGTGGTGCAACGTGTCCTTTCAATCCACCTGTATCACACTAGCGATGATCGCAGGCTACATGCCATTTAAAGTGGACCGGAGATAAGTAACGCGGAAAAAGGAAAAGGATACGCTTTGGACACCGCGTTCACCTCGTTGGTTTGCAGTAGGTTGGCAAGGTAACGAGCCATGTTGAAATAGGCTTCCGGCATTTGCGAGGTGAACGGCTCGTGCTGAAAAGAGAAGGAGATCAGTTTCCATATCAATGATCAACGATGAGAGTGTGGTTACCGCGGAAGTGACAGACATTCGCTCAGTTCGAAACTCATGCAGTAATACATTAAGTACTACAAACACTCAGAGTTTTGAGCTTGGAAATGAAGTTTTCCCAAGAATTATCTCCTCTTTTAAATCATGTTATAACGTTCCTAAGAAAACGAGCCAGATGACCGCTTTATACCGGTCCCCAAAAGATGATTACCCGAGCGAAATTCAGCAGTATTGCGGCGTACGAGTCCTAACCGCTGATTTGATGACAAGGATGATAAATGTCGAACCGTAAACCACAAGCATAAATCGAAACGCGAAACATCATGAATGCACCGCGGACCAGTGAGAAGGTTGACCTAAAGCGGGAGCAGTTTACTGCCCAAGCCGAAGGTCAACACAAGTTTCACACACGCTTTTATGGCATAGTAAAGCGAGCGAAGGCCCGCAACATGACTTGTCACTGGTCACGGGACACGCTGAGCGCTTGTGAGGTAAGCTCAGACTTGTACTCTCCCACAGCGACCTAAAATCCATGGACAATAGGAGTATGCTTTACCAAAACGGACTTCCTATGCTATGGGCGCTCAAACGCAGCTTCAACACTTGATCCGAAGAGATTGCTACTCGCGTCTTTGTTTCAATCATACGATTAGTGCTAGAGTACGGCTTACCCGCCTACTGTCCTATCAGCCGGGACGAGGTACAAAGGATTGAACCGGTATAGCATGTAGCTGTCAGACTTATTCCTCATTTTCCTAGTACTTCGTACGAAAACCGTTGCAAGAGACTCGGACTGAACATCCTGTCGTATCGTCGAGTGCGAGTTAACCTTATCTTGGCGCACCGATTATTGCATTTTTGTGATTATCTCATGTTGAGACAGCGGCTCCATATGCGTACACTAAGCAGCACGCAAAGACACAAGTGCCGTAGTGCCGTATTTGAAGCGGGTAGCCCACCAACTCTGCTTCGTACGGAGCAAATTGCAGTCGCACGTAGTCGAAGCAAAGTCGGTGTAGGGATACAAAAATTACTTGCACAAACTCTACCGACATGATATATGGTGAAGTCTCACCAATGTAATCGGCCATTGCACCTGAGGGACCTTAGATGCAGTTATACAAATATATCTCTTCTTGCTACTTCCTTACAGCATTCAGTGTTCAGATCATGGGCCAGTTGCAATGGGGCTAGAACAGTTGCATTTCTGTATTGCTCGCGGCACGAATTGAACGGTTTGCTGGGAACATGCAAATTCCTGTCGTGGCATGTGAACAAACATAGAGAGATTCTGTGGATTGAATCGAAAGTCAAGTCGGTTGGGCTAATAAATTGAAGCTATTACCCAGTGAAACAGTGGTGAGGCGCATTCTGGTTAGCCATATGCAATTTACAGACTCCGTTCAACAGAAGAAGATAGCAAGAGTTGAGAGTAGTTGGCCGCGTTAGTCCGGGTTTCGCAAGCGACCGAATGTCTTCAAGGCACATAATTTCCGACTCCGTCCGAACTTAATACGGATACAATTATTGTTTCCAAAGAGCTACGGTGTAAGCGCTGCGGAAGGACACGATAGTCGCCGACCTACCATGTGACGGTGGATGTTTGAGTAGACGTAATAGATATCTGCCTTCTGTTGTAAGTGCGAAAAGTTGTCCAACAGCTCCAGTTGTTTGAATCGATCTGTGACCAAAAAGAGATTGTGGAAATTTAAACCAATTTATATGTGATCGAGGGCCCAAATAACGTTGCTGAGAAATCTTAAGAGGAAGCATACCGTTGGTATCTCTCGCCATTTCTAGACACTGCATTGAGAGCTTCCAGTGGTAGAAGGCAGCATCTTCAAAACGTGACAGATTTGCAGCACACAAGGCCAATTGTTCGAGCACTCGAATTGCTTCGGATCGAAACCCGGCTTTCGCAAACGCTGCAAGGAAGAGCATGATGGGGAAAGGTGCAGTTGATGGTAATTCGGGATGAGAGAATACAGGAAAATGACTTGGCAACAATAAGGCAAAGACACGCACTTCTCGGGAAGGTATAAAAATTGTCACCTACAAACATTTTGGGTAGTAGGGGAGTTTGGACACCAAAAGTGGCGAATTCAGTCTCTCGTTCACATGTACTAACGCCCTTCATGTACCGCTTCTGTTTACTGCAATTATAAAGCAAAATCTTTGGGGTAAAACCACGACAACGACGCGTCCTGCAATAGTTGCTCACTGGGACATCAGCTACCCCTTGCTGGTGCGCAAAGTAGTAGTGATGGTGACGCTTCAGTCAGATGTGATTGGAATACTGGAATTGCACTAAGACCCCCAATAGTTCTAGCTTTATTCACATAACGTTCAGTGATGGCAACACTTTATGTAAGACGGAAGCTGATGGTGGTTCGGGGAATACAACAACCATCGATATGCGCCTAAAACCCAGTTCCACACACGCTTTGTAGTCATAGTCGGCCGGTGGCCGAGTGGTCTGCGAGTTTGATTTGCAACCATAAGGTCACCGGTTCGAATCCGTGTAGGGGTGGGCGTCCTTGAAGTATACTCAGCCCGCGCGACTGGTGGGGGACGCGCGGCAGCGAAACGCCGTTACGGCGTACAGCCGACACATTATTAGTATTATTTTATTATTCTTGTATTCATAACGGGATGGCAACATACAGGCCACCTCTTATAAGGATCGCTAGCGTAATGCGCTTACTAAACGAAGTAATCCGAAAAGCACATTATTAGGGGAACTGAGCAAAGCTGATTCCGGTAATCAACGACAGTGGGGTGACCGATGTACTCGGCCTCATAGAACGCAAGGTGCTCGTTACGAGAGGCTTGAATGTGTCGCGCTGGACAGGAAGAGCGCTGCCCAGCTCCATCAACTATAACAGTATATATTTCCACACCTATGTGTGCTCAGCCATATATTAATGTCCTTTTCAGTCACATGCTATCGCCCATCTCTTCTCCTAAACTTATAGCACACTCATGTGCCAACCATCGTCCAGACCAGCTGGACAAGCGCTATTTAGAGTCCAACCTATGCGGATCACCTTCTAGCTTCATTTCGCAGGTTTGATACTTTTCGCTGAAAATCACGCATTTAAAATTTTTATTCCTGGTCGTTGAGTTGCTTGTGGGAACCCAAACGGAAGCCTAATCTGTGGCTCGCCAAACCAGCCCACAATCATACCTCAACCGCAGTATGAGAAAAGCGCTGCACAAAATGTACCTTTCCTTCTTCTGCTATCGCTGCGTAACTAGCGCTCCCTCTGTATTTCGAAAGCCAGTTTATACATCCACTCTATATCCCCAGTCTGTTCAGTATCTGTGGTGCAATGTGGATGTACTCTAAGTACCGTCAACCTATGCTCACCTCAATCAATCTCGAGCAATCGAATTAACCCCTTGTTTAAGTGAACCAACTTGATTCCGAAGCAAGTACCTCGCTACGTATCCGGACTGTAGAATATTAATCGGCAGGGCAAACTAAAATAGCGGGCTCTTACTATCGCTCAGCACTGAACGTACCAATATATGTCATATGACATATGCCATATGACATATGTGATTCACAACCCGTACCAAAGTTTCCAGCACCGTCATTATAGGTTCGAATTGCTCTAGGTATTTCCATCCTAATTACTGCAACTTGCTAACAAGCAAGATGAGTCAGTGCGATAGAGAAACAAGCTCTCTATGGCTTCAAGCAGTATGTACGGCCATCAAATTGATCATCTGATCCAAGAAGGATGAAAAACAAGGTGTGAACGAAGAATTAGCCAACACCAAAATCGCTTCACTGGGAAAAGGTATAGAGGAGTGCGTAATAGAGGAATCTCGGACAAGCCCCGATTCAGTCCTAACGAGAAGGACCAGGCATTATATTAACAAAGTGACACCTGTAACTCCGAAAATTAGCCACTGTATCAACATCGCTAGCTTTCTAGTTATGGCTGAACTGACCTCTTCAGCCCATTCGGAATAACTACACCTAATACTTCGTCCACTCTCTAAACTGCACAGAAACAAGTAGACATGAGTGATGTTCTGGCTGGCATTGCTTCTGAAACATTTAGGAAATTATGACTGAAGTTTCGTTTGGCAGATTCGAAACCAACGGAGGGCCGAGTTTGACTTACACAGGCGGCACCTCTTGTGTACATCAAACCATTGGAAGAATCTTCGCAACCCATCATGTGCTGGATGACGCTAGGAAACCGCTTAATGGCACGGTTATCAGGTGTTCTCCTAGATGCAGCCGTTTCGTCGCCAGGCGAGACGACGTCATCAGCGCAAGTTTCGTTAGCCCCTTTTACATCGAATTGATTATCCATCGTCAGTTGAGTTCAATGTCATGCTTCGATGGATTCATGTGAGTTGGCCAAGAAATCATCTGCTTCGTCCGTTGACCTGAGGTCGATTGCTGGTTGGACCCTCAGTGCTTCATAGGCGAATCTACTTCCGAGTGTCTGTTAATCGAATTATGTCCCGAGTACCAAGTCTTGATGAACTCATGCGCCTTCCAGCTTCCTGCTCTACAAAGTATCGTATGCTGAAAATCAAATGGATAATTTCCTGCGTCCATGTGCACCGAGAATGAGGAGTTCTGGTCGCCTCGGCGGATAGCCCGATTCTGATTATGTAACCTCGTGATACGTGGATTTATAGGAGGCGGCGAAACTCACACGATTGATTAGGCATAACCGGGCGACGAAAAGTCTGCACTCAAAGTAGACAGCCCGGCGAGAACCCGAGAAACACCACCCGCTTTGGTGCAGACTATCTTTCAGGCTAAAGAGCATTAGCCATCACTTTTTGCCTATTTACTGTAATAACAATCAGCGCCTAATGACCCTTCTGGAGGAGGTTCCGGTAGATCTGTCTATGCGATCTCCCACTTCTAGCAGGGTAGTCACGGTACTGATTCAATGCTGAGATCTGGATTTTCGGCAACTTCGCGGATACCGTCGCGATAATGTCACAAACTCGTCCGTAGTAATGAAAGGCTGACCAGTTTTTCTGACGTTGCAAAGACTACCAGATTTTCAAACTTTTGCACCAGTTTCAGAACGTAACGGCCAACATGCATGTTAGTGTATCGTCGCGCAGTTACTGCAGGGTTTAAACTGCACTGAGCATACGAGTAAAGAATCAACACGCGCTGATCCACAGCCAAGTCTTGTACCGCCGGTGGCAGATAACTCGCCGACGAACGTGCATCACCGTGCTTCATCGCTAAGACACTGTTCTAAACAGGAAGCATCCACCGCAGTAAGCTTCTCGTTCGGCCTGGCCAACCAAATACTGTTCGGGCAGCCATGAAAAGCTATCGATCATTCGCATGCATTGTGGTCACACTGTATCACACTAGCGGTCAGCACGCTTAACGTGCGCCTGTCTGTCCACACACCAATCGTCCAGGTTGCATTTCGGTGATCGTTCACCTGAAGGACAGAATTGATGTGTCCTATTCCCTGGAAGAGAGTGTCTGCACGTGCGCTGGTTTGTTAGTGTGGGCATTCCCCGATTCCATCATACGGGTTTCGGCCCCATATTCTTGATGGCACTCTAGTTTGGCAAATACAGGTTTCCCGCAACTCTTGTTTAATGTGAGCCGGAATACGTTGTGACGGTCTTCAAAACGAGAGACTATTTCCATATCCGTCCGTTTGGGTGGCAACACGAAACCCCTTTTTCCTGAGTAATTCCCATCTTCATACTTCGAATCTATTTTCTTTACTTTTCCTCGCCATTGGTATTATTCTCATCTTTTAACTGATTTCCCTCACTCCCTTACCTTCGATTTTTCTTCCTCTCCTACTTAGTTCACGTAACTTACCTAGCTGGGACAGCTAATGTAAGGAACGTGTGCATTAATTTGGTGGACCAGGGTGTTTTTCGGGTGTTTTCCTTTTAGACCCTACAAGAAGTCGGAGCACCCCTATCAACTCCTGGATCGACGACCCACTCAAGAAGGAACACTTACGGGATTCATCCTATTGTTCCAGTCCCACTTGAACTTGAATTTGAACTTCCACACTACCATCAATTTTACCCTGAGATGTTTACAAGCCTTGTCATGCCCGCTCGCAGTCGGAATGTGTCAGCGACCATCGAGAATTTTCAGTGACTTTGTAGTGGCCCATTCCATAGTATGGTAATCGGATGTCACATCTAGTCATCTGCTACTTAATAACGTCTGGTGAAATGTGACCGCTGCTTGGGGAGGTCATTTCGATGGAGTTATTATGTGTGTATATTGAGACGCGCATTCCTAATTTGGACTTCGGTTCACATTAGAACGAACTTGAGTTAATCCGGTAAATGGGGCAGCATCTGAACATGCGACCAATGACCTTGAACTGTGCTAAATGTGCAGTCATTGAGCCCGGATGCCAACGTGCTTTGACACACGCTATGAACATCCAGCTTTCCCAGTGGCAAATATCTACGAGTTCACAGTGTTACTACGAGTGTTCGCCGAAATGCACTCGCAGATCAGCACATACACTTGCGCCGTAGGAGTCCACACATTTTCGCCAACTTGACGGTTTTGGACGCTACTCTCCTGTGGTGACTGATCCCGATGTGATGGATTTGTTCATTGGTTGACGCAAGGCTGGTTGGCAGCATGTCACCCTCTGCGACTGTTGTATCGGAGGTTAGTGCTCGCGTGAATTAGGAGAGCTTCTTCAAACAGGTGTAAAAACCGCTCACCGTTCTAATCACGGGAGTCTACACGCTGTGGGCTGCCAAAATGTGGCTCATCAACGCTCAATTTGTTGACTTGCACATGCAGAGCACCAGTCAACAATACAGTATCCATACTAATTCTGAGAGGAAGAGCTCATTCAGTTAACGATGGTTGTATTCAACCGAGTCAGTGCTACAATTTGCGGGAGCTTAGGTAGCGATTACAAACAAGCTT